CGGTCCCTGTGCTTTGCTTAGCTTGTCCTAAGTAGGTGCTTTAGACCACCGAGCCATCTCGCCAGCCCTACCCAATTCTTTGCCTTCTCACTTTCTCACATACTTGGAATATATTCCCTAGTTTGTTCACTCATTCACTCTCTGCTTATATACACATTTGCCCAATCACTTTTCAGCAATATGAAATCTATGCAAGGCCCAGAGCCAGGCAATTTGGAAGACTCACAGGAGGAATTCAGCCTGACACTTGTTGCCCTCAAGGAGCACACAGTGTGGTGTGAGAAACTGCCATGATCAAAGATCGCACAGGCAGAGATAAAAGGTGGATGCTAGGCCAGCCTTGGTAAGAGCTGTTTTCCAAGTATGGTTGGAACTGCAGCAGGCAGGAAATAAGTGGAGGCAGAGTCCAGAGACTACTTTAGGGAGGGGGGTGGGGTGATGGCTGCATGTGTCATGGTTTCAATCACCAAGGTAAGTGAAGACTGAGCTGGGGCAGGGGCTATGGAGGGAGAATTAAAAAGAGGCACGTGAAGCTGAGAGGGCACACAAGGAGGCTGAGGGTTGAGAGGCGAGGGAGGCATCCAGGATAAGGTCCAGAACTCTGGCCGAGGGGATCATTAGACTGTTCCTGAGATGCCAGAAAGATGCAAAGGTTGGTTTTGGACATGGAAGGTTATGAGGGGGCCAGGGACACTCAAGGGCAGGCATCTGAGAGACTGCCAGGCCACAGGCCTATGGATTGCTCAGGAGAGAAGCACTGGGCTAGAGGCAGAGTTGTGTCATTAGAGCCAAGACACGAAGTAAAGCTGAAGAGGTCGGTGAGATAGCTCAGTGGACTATGTGCCTTCTTTGGCAAGCACAGGGCTCAGGGTCCTGAGCTGGCGATGGAGTCTGCGTGTGGCGGTGCATGCCTGTAATCCCAGCACTGGGAAGGCTGAAAATGGGGATCACAAGTCTGAACTGAGTAGTGAGACCCTGCACCACACAAATGGAGGAAAAAAAAAAAAAGCTGAGGGCAATAAGAGATGGAGGGGGGGCCTGGCCCTAGCTCAGTCCTTTAAGTGGCTGCTTCCACAAAGCTGTCAGCCTCAGGTTGCTGGAGTTCGAACCTCACAACTCTCCTGCTGGCCAAAAGTGCCCTGAAGGCATTCGAGGAACAAAAAAAAAAAAAAAAAAAAAAAAAAAAGAGATGGAGGAGCAGAGGGAGGTAAGGGATGAGAGAGGAAGGTTCCAATCCCTGGAATCTGTGAGTTATTGTAAATGGGGTAAGGGGAAGAGTCTCCACAGATGTAATAAGACTGTTAAAATGGGAGAGATTGTCCTGAATAATCCAGGTGTGTCTTAGAAGCAAAACAAGTTTTTTTTTTTTTTTTTTAAATTTACAGTATCAGAAATCTAACTCAGGATCGTGTGCTTGCCAGACAGGTGCTATGGCATTGTGCTATCCCTGACTTTTTTGTTTTATGTCTTTTTGAGACAGTCTTACTATGCAGTTCCAGCTGGCCTTGAACTCACTGTGTAGTCCAGGTTCACCTTGAACTTGCAGTAATCCTCTTGCTTCAGCCTCTGAGTGCTGGGATTACAGGTGTGCACATTTGGCTACACAAGTGTTGTATAAGAGTGACTGAGAAGAGGGGCACAGTGACGTATGTCTGTAATCCCAGCTACTTGGGAGGCTGAAGCTGGAGAACTACAAGATTATTTGTTTTCTTTTTTGGTACTACTGGGGGACTGAACCCAGGGTCTTTACCTGAACTACATCCCAGTTCTATCTATCTATCTATCTATCTATCTATCTATCTATCTATCTATCTAATATCTACCTATCCATCTGCCTGTTCATTCTAAGTTACCTAGTCTGGCCTCAACAATGTGATCCTAAGGAGGACTCCACGTTAGAACCCAGCCTGGATAACAGCAAGACCTTGTCTAAAAAACCAAAAAAGGCTGAGGAAGAGCTAACAAAGAACAGAAGCAGTATGAAGGTAGAAGCAGAGAGCTTTACAGGACTGAGGCCTGGGGATGCACTGGTATCACTCCAGTGCTAATGATGTCAGACTTCTGGCCATCATGTTTGTGTCTAAACCCACCCAGTTTATGATAATTTGTTACAGCAGCCACAAAAAACAAATGCCAAGGCTGAGGAGGCACCTGAGAGACAAGAGGGAAATTAGAGAATGGTGTCACAAAAACCAAGGAAAAAATTTACAGCAAGGATGGAGGGGTCAGTGACATTTAATCTTTCAAGTAATCTCTAGCAAAAAAACAAAAACTTGATGGAGTGACTGTGTTTAACTGCAAATGGGGATAAGTCACCAGGGACTCTAACCACAGCAATGCTGAAGAAAAAACTAGACTTCAGTGGGTGGGAGGTAAGCAAATGGAAACAAATTAACATGACTCTTTGGAGAAGACAGATGGTGTCTGGGTCAAGGGACAGATTTTCTTTTGTTCAGAAAATAAAATTTAGCTGAGAGTGTAACTCAGTGGTTCAGCACATGCTTAGCATGTGTGGGGCCCTGGGCTCCATCTCCAGCAGTGAGAAGTAAAAAAACAATAAAACTTTATGGCGAAAAATTTCAGACACACTAAAGTAGGGTAAGCTGACACCCCTCGCTCACATTCATACAAATCCAACATACTTTCAACAATTACCAATTCTTAGCTATTGGTGGTGGTGTTTCTGTGATACTGGGGATTGAAATGAGGGCTTTTGGAGCCAGGGAGATGGCTCAGTAGAATAAGCATTAGCCGGGCAAGCGCAAGGGCCTGAGTTCAATCCTTGGTTCTACCAAAACATTGAATTGAGGGCTTTTGCACTGGAGCAACACACGTAGCCCTTTTTTTACTATTTTAATCTCCCACCATCCTACTTAATCTCTAAATTGCTCAGGCTAAGCTCAAATTTGTGATCCTTTTGACTCAGCCTCCCAGAGTGATGCCATTACTACCTGCGCCCAGCCCCTGTGGTGTTTCAAACAACTTCATAAACACATCTCATGGGGCCCAGGGAGATGGCTCAGTAGAATAAGCATTTGACTGGCAAGCACAGGGGCCTGAGTTCAATCCCTGGTTCCTCAAAATAAATAAACACATCTCATCCCACACTTTGAAGCTATGAAACAAATTGTAAAACGAGGGGGAAAAATATAGATATTGATGAGAAGACATTATAATAAGGGAAAAACATCGAAGATGCAAGGGAAAGCAAAAAGGGATCATAGAAATGGAGTAAGCAGATTGCATTGAGGACTATGGGGAAGGGAAGTTAGAATGGAATGAGGAAAGGTTAGTCTGAGATAAACAGAGTTGGTTTGAGGCAGGAGGAAGGTTCACCTGGAACCATGGCAGGGCGCAGGGCCGGAGAGAGGTTTATGTTAACGTGATAGTGACCCTACTGAGGAAAAGGATTAGCCTAGGACCGGAAAAGAGTAGAAGTGGGAAAAGGTTATCTTCAGGGAAGAAAACGGAGGGAATGGAGGTCAGGCCGCGACATGGGAGAGGACAACACAGCTAAGCGGTGGAGCGCACAGGTGAGGCTGCGAGCCGATGTCCCCTCAGAGTTCCCTCTGGCGGCACAGGGGAATCATTTCTTGGTGACACCACAACTGAACCCTCTCGCTATGACTGCGTGGTCAACATCTCACCCTCATTGGGTTCCTCCGCCGCCGCCTCCATCCTGAATCTCTCCGACTTGGACTTGTCAACTGCCGTAGTGAGACCCTGACACCAACCTCGACATTACGCACTCAAAAGCCACTTCCGTCTGTGCACGCCTCAAGTGGTTGTATGCTTCCACTGAGACGCGGTACTAAAGTTCCGGCTCCAAGCGGACCTCCTAATGCGCATGCGTACCTCTCTCTACTGCCCCACCCCTACCCCCGCCCGCCCGCGGGCCAGCCAGGAAGGAGAGGACCGTCAGTCTCTATTTGAAGGTAGAAAGTCAAATTGTTCGCTGCTGTTTCTCCAGCTCCTGACTTGGTTAATACTGGGGATAGATGGTCAAGTGAACACCCTCCAAGACGTGGAGCTATCAGACTTGAGATTTTGCTTATTTTTTATATATATGTGTGTGTGTGTGTCCAGCTCAGTCCACCAGGGGGCGGGGCTGGCTGGCATGTGGTGCTGGGGGATTGAACCGCGGTCCCTGTGCTTTGCTAAACTTGTTCTAAGTAGGTGCTTTAGACCACTGAACCATCTCTCCAGCTCCAAAGTAACAATTTTTTTTTTTTTTTGGTTGGAACCGGGGATCAAACTCAGGCCCTTGCACTTGCCAGGGAAGCGCTTATTCTGAGCCATCTCCCAGGCCCCCGGTTTTTCTTATTTTTAAGATCCCAACACTTTATCCCAGGGTGCATCAATCAATCCTTGGGTGGCATGATCAATGATAGAATTTACTACTTTGTATTCCCACAACCTGGGGGTAATGCATATTTGGAGGAAAAACCGTGGTCCTCCTTTGCAGAGTACACAGACATGTCATCAGTGACAAATGACCACGGGGTCTGAGGGCTCTGCCTACTTCAGTCTGGGTTAGGGCAGGTATCTTTACAGAAAGGAAGCCTAGGCTGACACTTAATGAGTTCCTTAAGAAGGGTCTCAGATGATGGCAAGCACTTCAGTAGGGTCGCGAGAGGGGTTCTAGCGTAATTAGGCTGTTAAGGGTTTGGGAGTGTCATTAATCTTTAGATAAAATCCTTTAGAAAGTGTACAAGGCAGATGTTTATGCACTCTTAAGTTCCCCAAAAGATTTATGCTCCTCAAATTGGCTCAGTGGAATAAGCGCTTCCCTGGCAAGCACAAGGGCCTGAGTTCAATCCCCGGTTCCACAAAAAAAAAAAAAAAGAACTACTAATCTGAATCTAAAGAGGGAGTGGAAGCTGGGAGTGGCACTCGATCACTGAGTTCCAGACCAGCCTGGCCTACAAAGTGAGCTCAAGACCAGCCTGAACTGCATAGCAAGACCTTGTCTCAAAAAGACAAAATACATTAAAAAAAAAAAAAAAAAAAAGTTGGGAGCAGAGAGGTGAAAACCTTTGAGGTCACCAGGTGCTGGGCCATGCAGGAATTAAGCCTCATTAAGTAGCTTGACCTCCTTTATCCTACAGGGATTGGGCCAGGGGGATCAAGGTAAGGGACTGGAGAGATCTGAGATGGAGGGTGCTATAATTCAGATAATGGCTAAGAACAACCAAAACGTTTTTTATATTCTAAGGTCTCGAAATGTGAAAGGCTTTGAGGCTGTCACAACCCGTAAGCAGGAAACGTTGGCACGCCAAAGCCAGCAGAGGGCGCTATTGCCCACAATACGCACCTGCTAGGAAAGCTCTTCTGGGGGGGGGGGGGCGGCGGGGCTGACGCCTGGCAGCACCCTTCTGGAGCAGGATGTTTTAGATGCTAACTTTGAGCCCACCTCATATTGACACTCCCAAACAGAGCTCAAGATGAGTCAGTTTTTTAAAAAAACATTTTGAGACAGGGCCTTATATTTAATCTGGTCTTGAACTCATGGTGAGGATTCTCCTGCTTTAGCTTCCCGAAGTGTGTGCCATGTCAGACTTCTCCCTTGTTTTTATAAGATGTGTCCTTTCACAAAGTTCCGTGATCCTGTGAGAGCTAAGTGGGGTCTGAGTTGGCTTCTCCTGTACCCTGGCACTTTCTCCAGGGTAACAAACTGCATGTAGAGGGAATGGAAAAATGAAGCCGCTATGTCGAGGTAGGGCCCGTAGTTTCTTTCTTTTCCCCTTCAGGAAGCACTCCCCTCACAATCCTCATGCTGCTACCTTCTGATGAGATGCGCATTCCCTACGGAGTGGGAGCTTTGTGGAAACCAAAGATACTACCTGGGCCATGCTGCGCCCCCAGCACTGTCCAGGACAACTGAAAAGAACAGGCACCCAAAGCATACTAGGGGACAGTACTGATGAAACTCCTGAAACCCACAATTAGCTTGGGCCACAGGGCAGCCCTGAGCTGCACAGCCAGTCAACATGCAGTAATGGCTCTAAATGAAGCAGCCCTAATCTATCCCATTGGTCCAGCCTGTCCCTCTACCTATAGACCTGTTCTGTGTGTTCTACTAAGATGTTCCTGAAGGGATTTGGGACCAAGAGAGACGACCACTTTAAAAAAGTAAGATGGGCATGGTGGTACATGCCTATAATCCTGGCACTCAGGAGGCAGGAGGATCACTCCAAGTCTTGAGGCCAGTGTGGGGTACAGTGAGTTCACGGACAGGCTACTCAAAAACCAATCTAATAAAAGCCAAAACAAAAATACATAGCAAGAACTTACCTCAAAAAAAACCAAAGGAAGGCAAAACAAAATACTCCAATATACTAAACTGGGGCTTTAGGTTAAAGGGATTGCCTCAGCACTAAAACGGGCTAGACACAACTCCCTCTGAGCTTAACAAATGAGTAAATCACTTCCCCTTGCAAAGGCTCCCACCCCAATTAAAGGCCAACTGCAGTAAGACTTCAGGGTTTCAACCCTGCTTCCTTCCTACAAGGAGGTGCCATGTCATTTATTGAAAGAAAACAAAACAGGGCAAACACATTTTTTAGTAAGTGCAGTTTGTTAAAATCCTGTTAAAACAATTGGGTCAAAGGGAAGTAATCATCAGAGGATCATGGTAGGAAAAACTGAGATCTGGCCCCTGGGAGAGCCCCCGAGAGGGTACACTGGGGTTTTAGGTTATACGGTAAATTCCGTATTCTAAAGCAGATGAACCCCCACCTTTCACCCACTTAATCCCACCAGAAACTACCAAGACGCCTGGAATAAAAGGTTTCAAGTTCAATAGTCACACTCTCTCCAAATACAAAAAGCAGTTACAATTCAACTGAACACAGAAGCTTGTGTGCAAAGTTATGGGGAATTGAGACATCATATAAAAGTTAGGTTAAAGATGATTCTGTGGTTTTGTGTGTGTTTTGTTTTGGGGGTGTGGCTCTTTCCCAGTCACCTGAACTCAGCAAAGAAACAGTTATTCTGACAAAGTATCAATGGTGGACTGACAGTAAAAACAGACAAATTCTAAAAATTAAAAAAAAAAGCATAATTACCAAAAAAAGTGTCACTGCTTCCTCCCTCTGCATTTTGCTTTTAAAACTTTTTTTTAAAAAAGTTTTTTGATTTTTTTTTTTTTTTTTTTTTTTTTTTTTTTTTAAATCCTGAAAGTAAGACAGTAAAACAGCTCCTGGGAGAATTTATAACCAACTGCAAGAGGGCCTGGGAAGCTGAGGGACCAGAGCAGGGTTGGGAAGACCAAACAGGAAAAGGTCTTCCCTTCAGTCACTGCAGCCTCAACATGACAAAAGAGAGAGGGTTTCCTTAGTTAAAATGGAGATGAGAAGGAAGAAGAGGTGGGACGTGGAAGGGACAAACAGAAAATAAAAGGTCATTGTGGCCTGTTTAAATTCAGAGAAAAATGCCTGGCCTGTGTGTGGGAAGAAGCCCCTCAGAGGGGAGGCAGTGGGCTGAAGGGAAGCAGCCCTGGGATGACCCCAACCCCAGCACCAAGGACCCGGTGGGGGTAGAGGAGGGGCCAAGGTAGGCGCTGGTGGAGGAAGCCGGCAGGGGCCTTCGGGAGCGTCAGGACACACTGGCTACTGTGTGCTTGTGCCACCCTGTGTGCTGCCGGAATAGCTCCCGTAGTCGTAGTTCCCGTAGTATGGTGGCCACTGGCTCTGGTTCTGATAGTATTGGTTCCACTGCTGAGCATACTGCGGAGAGAGACCAAGAACACAAAGTCGTACTCTATTCATTCCACATGTCATTCTTCCCCTGGCCCATCTTGTCTAGGGCAGAGATGGGTGACCACCATATACACCTGGATCTAGTGAGAAATTAAATGTACCTCCAGGGGACAACTGGCTGACATGATGCCACACATATGGGCATTTAGGAACTGCAGCACAGGTCTCCTGGCTTTTAGGTACCACATTCTAAATTACAACAAAAAAATAAACCGGCCAGGTATGGTGGCCTGCATTTGGTGCCCCCTGGCCGTGGTGCTGAAGCAGGACTTGGAAACCCTGCTCAGCCGGGCCCTCCCTCTGCTCGCTGCACTGCAGACAAGATAGAAAGCAGTTATTTAAAACAGTGCAAGCCAGGCTGGATCACTCTGAATGCCAGCTTGGAAATACAAACTCAGGAAGGGCCACTGAAAACCTCCCCATCCCACAAGAGCCTTTTGCTTGTCACCTACCTGCTGATACTGGTTATAGCTGGGCTGAGGGTAGGTCTGTGCAGTGGGGGGCGGTGGTGGGGTATATGGAGCCGGGTTGTAGCCACCATAGCTTCCATAGTTGTAGGCAGGTGGTGGTGGAGGTGGAGGTGGTGGGGCTGTGTAGCCCTGGCTGTAACCTCCCTGGCTGTAGGGTGGCTGGGTGTAACTGGGCTGGAAAATGGAGAAAAAGACCACAACTCTGTGAACGAGCCAGCTTACAGCTGGGATAGAGAGAGGGCCTTTGTAGGCAGTTAGCTCACAAAGGTACTTCCCTGGTAGAGGCTGTTTGGGGAAAGGAGGTAAGTCAGCTCTGACGTAGCAAGACAAAGAAGGCTGAAAGCAAAGAAAGCCACAGGGTCACAATCTGAATGCTAATCCCAGCTGAGACACCCGGGAAGCAAGACACATGGAATCTCTCTTTTTTTTTAAACAAAACTGGCAGTCCTAGGGTTTAAATCTAGGGTCTGAAGTGTGCTAGGCAAGCACTTTATCACTGAGCTACATACCCAGGCCCTTGGTTTCATTTCCTATAAAGTAAGAATTACAACAAACTACCACTTCTGATTGTTTTCAAAGCTTTTGTGTATAAAACACTGGGTACTTAATAAATGGTGGTAGTTGTCACTGAACATCCTGCTCAGAAGGTGTTGACAACCTGCTAACTGCTTTTCACGTACAATGTGTACCATAAACTCATTTAATTTGTTATGGTTTATATCCAGCACTCCCTCCAACCATCTAGCTCCATGACATGTTTTCATAGGTGGGGCATTTAAATGTGAGTGGATTATGGGAACTCAGTTAAGACGGCAAGTTACTGGGCATGTGCCCTGGAAGTGTTTCTCTCCCTGGCTCCTGCCTATGTGCTTTCCCTATGTGCCATGAAGTGAGCACATGTGAGTAGCTCTTCCTTGCCATGTGGCCCTGGTGGAGCCAGTTAACTGGACTACAACCACAGGTCAAAATAATAAACCTCTCCTGTTTTAAGCTAGGTATTTCAGCTACTATCTCTCAGCAATGGAAAATGACTTAAGACACATATTAACTCTTAGGGTAAGTTCTATTAGTGCCACCGAGGTCAAATCCTTAAGCCAAAGTCATACAATTAAAAAGAATCGACCTCTGGGTTTTTCTACTTGTAGAGCCTTAACTAAGCTACAGAGCCACCTAGCTCTCACAACAAACCTCAGAAATGAGTTCTACTAATACCTTTTAGTTGTTTGAGGCTCATAAGAGTGAAGATAATTGTCAACATCATAAAACCTGGATATTTATAGGGCTGGTGGTTTGAAGTTGTGTCTAACTCCTGTGCTAGTAAATTTTCTGAGTAGAGCACAGTCTGAAAGCCAGGCCTGGCACATGGAAGGTGCTTAGGAAGTGGATGCATAACAAATGGAGATTGCTTTGGTTAGCAAGTTGTGTACTACAGTCCTAGTAATAACTTTCGAAGACCTTGAATGCAGCCCAGAGGTACTAAGGGCAGAAGCTCGTGGTGGAGAACGCAGGTCCTCACTGACTCTGGACCCCTGCTCTCCAATCCTGAGGATAAGGAAAACCCACTCCCTTTCAGCATGGATGATGAGAATGACTCCAATTGAGTGCTTTCTTGGGGATCCAGCTTAGGCCAGCAACATAGTCAAGACATATATCTGCACTGGAGGTGCTGAAACTTACAACCTACGTCTGGGGTGAGGAAAGGAGGGGGAGGTTTTGGGCACGGCCACCTTATTTCTGGGTTTAGAGGGATCTGTCAATTCTAGGATTCACCTGAGAGGACTACAGGGAAGAAATGAAGGGCAAGCAGAACAAAGCATGTGCTAGGGGTTGCCATTGACCTGTTTCCTCTCACTTGCTCAGGTTTAAGAACACATACGTGCATATCTGAGTGCAAATGTATGCAAACACCCTCACCTGTGGAGGGCTGTAGCTGCTGACAGTGGGGGTGCTGGTATTGGCGCCTGAGCCAGGGATGTTGCTGTTCTTGTTATAGCTGCTGGCCCCTGGGGGGTTCCGAGCAGGGCTATAGCTGGGTGGTGGTGGTGGTTGCTGTGGTGGTGGCTGTGGTGGCGGCGGTTGCTGTGGTGGTGGCTGTTGCTGGGGGGCCCGGCTGTAGCTGCCTCGGTTGTTAGAGTTGTTGTTATCCCGGTTGTTGTTACCCCAGCGGTTCTGGTTGTAGCCGCCGCCTCCACTTCGGTTAAAACCTGCATTTAGAAATCCAGAGAGGCCCCATCATCCTCAGCATGCAACCTCCAGGGACTGGGCTGCTTATGACTGCTAGGATCACACTCCAAGGCCAGGCTCAAAGTAGGAGCTCAGTTAAAGTGAATAAAATACACCCCCTGGGCTTCTCCACACCCCCTGAGACACTCCCTTGTCCCACCTTGATAATTCTAGGTCACCATTACCTGATAACAGATTTGTTTCACCCACTAGGCTGTGAGCCTGGGGAGATACAGGCCAAGGCTGAGCTTTAATTGTGTCTGACCAGCTCAAGAGTTGTTCAGCAAATGAGAAAGATGTTTAAGAGGATGGCAAGCACTGGGCAGACAGCACAAACCAGCTCTGTCCTAAGTGTGGCCAAATGGGATGCTCACTCCTGAACCTCTGCTGATTTGTGGGCCCATAACTTTCCCTGGCCAACTCCTACTGGACCTGAGGCTCGTAGTTTAGACATCAGTCCCTCAGGAGGCCTCCTGAGCCCTGCTGCCTCCTACAGGCTGCTAGGGTTCACCTGAGGTCAGTGTATCCCTGTGCTATCCCATTAAGCTATTTGGGTCATGGCTGTGTCCCCAGAACTGTCCAGTACATGACTGAAACATGTGTGCAGCCCAGGACATGCTTAAGTTATGGAATAATTTACTTCAGGGACAGTAGCATTTATTTATTATTTACTTATTTTTTTAAATTTTATTTGTGTGTGTGTGTGTGTGTGTGTGTGGCCAGCTCATCCCACCAGGGGGCGGGGCTGGCTGGCATGTGGTGCTGGGGGATTGAACCCGCGGTCCCTGTGCTCTGCTAAGCTTGTTCTTTTTTTTTTTTTTTTTTGTGTGTGTGTGTGTGTGTGTGTGTATGTTTTGCTCCTTGAATGCCTTCAGGGCACTTTTGCATGGCTGGAGTGCTGTGGGGATCGAACTACAGCAAACTGAGGCTGCCAGCATTGTGGAAGCAGTCACTTAAAGAACTGAGCTAGGGCTGGGCCCCCTAAGCTTGTTCTAAGTAGGTGCTTTAGACCACTGAGCCATCTCACCAGCCCGACAGTAGCATTTATTAAGAACTCGGGCTTTAGATCATTTGAATAACAGCCCTGGATTTAGCCAGGTGATACTGGGCAAATTAACTTCTCTAAGGCTGTTTCTCCATTCATTTTATTTATAAAAATTTTAGAAATCAATCATTCATTCATTCATTCATTCATTCATTCATTCATTCATTCAGTGTAGGGTCTCACTACACAGCTTGGAGTGTAGTGATCCTGTCTCAGCCTCTGCAGCTCTGGGACTGTGTGTGTGTGCCACCACACTCGGCGCTGACATGGTGCACCCAGGGTTATGGGGTTGGCACAGTATGTGATATTGGGGGGGTCAAACCTGAGTCCTTGTGCTTGCCAAGCGGGCACTTAAGAGTGCCCAGCCTCTCTGTTTTAAAGCCCAACACCAGTCCTAACAGCTGTCAGGTCCTGAGCTGGGTCCCAGTACTACTCTTCCCAAAGACTTCATGGTCAGACAGGGGAAGGCCTACAAAAATAAAACAGCACTGCAACATGCAACATGTGAATGGACAAAGGGTTTCAATAGAAAGGCCAGGGAAATGGGACAGAGGGAGAGCTTCTTTGAAACCCCAAGTCTGAAAGTATCCAATTCTCTACCAGAGTTCAGTACATAAGTGGAGCTCAGTAAACTTCAGCACTGAATGACTAGTAGTCAAAGCTCAACTCCAACCCAGGGGAGAGCTGTGTGACATGCCTTACCTCCTCGGTAGTTAGTTCCTCCACCACTTCCTCCTCCTCGATTCTGGAAGCCACCTCGGTTGCCTCCAGGGGGACCCCGGTTGTCATAGCGCTGGAAACCGCCGCCACCCCCACGGCCTCGGAAGCCACCTCCTCGGTTGTCAAAGCGCTTTTCAGGGGGTGGCCCAGCCTTGCGGCCTTCCTCATTGTACTGCCTCACCAGCTTGTCTGCTTCTTCCCGCTGAAGCTCAATGAAAAGAACCTCATCTAGGAAGTCACCTACATCAGGCAACGTGAAGTTGGCTACGAGGAGAAAAAGGGACAGGTAAGTATCTTCTGAGGTCTAGTCTCTTCTACTCCCATAACACTGGCATCTACCAGTAGATGTAGTGAATGAAACAAGAGTAGGTCCCAATGACTCACCTTTTCTGACAACTGTTAGGGGCTAACAAAGACCCTTTCCTGAAGATATGGCTAAGCCCCACATAGGCATTGTGTTAGTTCCCTCTACCCTTACCCCAGCAGCAGGTCAGACAGGTGAAACCATATCCCTATTTTCACAGAAGAGCAGACAGACTCACTCACAATCAGCTCAGCTAGTTGGTGTTAAAGGCAGGTCATGGTGCAGGGCTTTCATCTTCAGACTCATCCACTCTCTTTCACCCCACTCAGTCTGAAAACCCCACCACAGACACAGAAAAAAAGCTCTGATACTGTCAGCTTTAGGAGACAGGAAAGGGACACAGCAGAATCAGAGGGGGGAGGGGGGAAGAGAGATATCACACAAAAGGAATAATCAGGGAACTAGCTGGACACAATGAGTAAAGGGCCCTTTCTCTTAGGGACCCTGTTGAGATGGCCCTCTGGGAGCCACTCATTTCCTACCTTTCATTTCTAAGACCGCATGATCTGGGACATCCTTCCCTTCCTCGTCGGTTCGCTTTATTGTTCGGTCTTTCAGGTCCTCATCAGTAGGGCAAATTACAATAGCTTTGCGCTGGAAACCTTCAAAAGGTCTCATTTTTCGTCTCTGGGCTGACCCATAAACATTTGTCTAGCGGTAGGTAACAGAAGAGGCAAGAGATTGTACATTAAGAGTTGTTTTCTTTTGAGGGGTATTATGTAAGCCATGGATGGGAAAAGCATACTAGTGCTCCTTCTAAGCAGAAAAGACTCTGGAAACTACTCTGCCTTTTTTTTTTGGAGGGGGGGGATGGATAGACTGGAAACTGAACTTAAGACCTCACGTTTGCCAGGCAGGCACTTTGCCACTGAGCTAAATCCTTGTCCCTTCTGCTTCACTCTGTTGATTCTTTTATCTGCTCTGGCCAATAAAGTAACTTAGGAAAAGTGGCTGCTGATAGGCCGAGGTCAAGCAATTCCTTACCCGCTGGGCTTTGTTCTTTAATCCAATTAGTTCCCAGTGCTGTATTTACAACTTCTTTTCTCTATTTTAGTTGCCTTATTTTTTTATTTAAAAAAACTTTTTTTGGTGCTGAGGACCAAACCTGATGGCCTCACAGCAAGTGTTCTACCTTTAGCTTTACCTAACGGCCTTTTCCTATTTTAGAAGTAATATACACTTGGATTAGAAAACTCACAGTACAAGGTATAAAATTTAAAGCAAGAATTTCTACTTGGGGCTGGTGAGATGGCTCAGTGGTCTAAAGCACCTACTTAGAACAAGTTTAGCAAAGCACAGGGACCACGGTTCAATCCCCCAGCACCACATGCCAGCCAGCCCCGCCCCCTGGTGGGCTGAGCTGGCCACACACACAAAAATAAATAAATAAATAAAAAGAAAAGAAAATTGTAATTCCCTAAAAAAAAAAAAAAAAAAAAAGAATTTCTACGTGGCTAGTACTAGCCCAGCTTCTTGGCTATAACTTTGTATTGAATTTTTGAAGCTCCTTTTTTCTAAATTTCTTTATAGTTTCATAGTACACAATGAACAGGCAAATTAACCAGCCCTGCTGGACACTTGGGTAGAATATTTTCAACAACACTGTGGCTTTTCTATCTCCTTGGTCCTTCTGAAACGTCATCTCAGCCATACTCTTCTAGCCAGGGAGGCTGCTTTTGGTAAATCCAAGTTGGCAGTCTTGTCATTTCCCTTCCTCCATGGCAGGCAGGTATCTCACAGGTGGATGCTGGCATAGAAAGCTGCCCTACATGTGTACACAAAGTGCATGAGCAGTAACGACAGCTTCCACTGACCAAAGACCTCCAAGGTACCAAGGCTCTTTGGGACTGATAGCCACATCTGCTGGACCACAGGGCTCTGTGGACTCAGCCTGTGCATCTGGACTACTTATGGATACTACTGAAAAAATGAGTGGCTTAATCCCTCCCTGAGACTTCTTAAGACCGAATCTCTGAGGTGAGCCCAAGCACCTCTGTGTGTATCTTCCCTCTTCAGGCTCAGGACCTTAAGAGTGGGGGGGAAGCTGTTCACTGCATCTAAACTTCAGTGGCTGTGACAGGGAGAAGCTGCAGAGGGGAAGGACAGTCTGTAAAGGGCCACAAATAAATCAATAACAAAAATGTATTCTTAGAACACATCCTAGCAGGGCAGAATCCTAGCTATAGCTAGGTGCAAGTTGTAGAGTAGACACTACTCTCTCTGGCAGGTGAGGACTGAGCAAATGACTGAAGCAACAGGCCCAGCGTTAGGAACTACTCAAGTGGGGGCTCTGGGCACTGGCTTCTGGGTATAAGACAACTTGATGACACGAGTGCAGTGAGAGTACCTGGCACAGCTTGGTTCTAATGGGATTTGGCTTTGTCACATCTGTGTGGCCCTGGGCTCATGACTTCCATTTACAGCCTGAGATGGCTTTTCTGTAAAATCAACTTACTAGGTATTTACTGGGTATCAAGCCCTGAAAAAACAGTATGAATGTCTGATAGTTACAGTGAAGACTAAATGAGTTCATGTGAGTAAAAGCCTTTGATTTAGCCTGGATCTGACTTGCAGTCAGCACTGAACAAATATAAGCCAGCAATGACACATGGTCATCACTAGACTGAGATGCTGTGAATAGTTACAGTGTGATGCTGACTTGAAGCAACCCAGACTAAAGGAAAGGTTATACTGCAGCAATTTTCCAAATGAAAAAGGCAGGCACAGTGAGGTAGGATGTAAAGAACACAAGCTTTGTGGAAGAAACCTGGGCTGAAATCTCTGCTGTGTCCCTTACTGTTTTGTAAGTCTGTAGATGTGTTGCCGTTAGTCTTGCTCCTTGGATTTCTTTGTTGAAAGACAAGGATCAAATTACTCTGCTGTCTCTGAGGAGGACTTGCATACGTGAGACTATGGCATGTGGCAGGGAAAGAAGTCAATGTCTGCATGCATCTGAATCAAGTAAGGTCAACAGACTGACATTATCCTAGGATTGGCTCCCAGTGAATGTAACAGGGAATATTAAGTCTGAGGAAAAGCTGAGGTGCAAGGATGGAAGCACAGACCTACTGGCAATCTGGGCTGTGGGTGCAGTGGTTCTCTACACCAACATTTCCCGTGATTCTGACAAGCAGGCCAGGGAAATGGGTAGGGAGTGAGTGGTGGGCACACACTAGCTATTACTAGGCTTTGAACCACAAATAGTTTTAAAAGGCATAGGTTTACATGGTAAAAATCTGTTTCCCACTTCTTTTCCTTGAATCTATTCTTAAAACAAAGCAGAGATAGCATGGAGTCCTACAAAGACAGAATTTGGCTTCCTCCAGCTAAGTTGTTTTTTCTGGACACAAAAGCCAGAATAAAGTAATTGCCAGGATGAATGAGGCCTCAAGTCACTTTGCTGATAACCCATGCTATTGTTGATGTCCACTGTTCTAACCTTTCTGTACCTTGGGGTCATGGAGAAACACATTGGGAGGTTCATCAGTGGCAGGCCAGCCTTTCCAATGCCACAAATGAGGGAACAGAAAATAGAAGGAACATTGCCAAGAGGCCTAGGGCTACTCCCTTGCAACTTCATGGGATGGGAGGAATAGGGATAGAGCAGACTAGACTCATTAGTAGCTGACTTTTGTACTGGGCTCCACTCTAAAGACCAGCTTCTCTGATGCTGAGATGAGCTAAGAAGACTTTCATGATAAGAACAGAATGCCCCTTCCCTGCTTACTCTGGCGTGGAGAAAGGAAGGACAGTATCTAAACCTCTCCAGCAGAAATGGAAATGCTTGGTTTTCCTGGAGGAAAGGGAGTCTGCTGGTTGCTGTTACCACAGCAAACACAGTGAGGTCAGGGCCCCAGGCCAGCCCAACACTGCTGTGGTCACTGGGGATGGCTGGTGGCTGCTGCTAGGAGACAGGATAAACAGCGAGGTCAGCTTTTCCAGTCTTGTGGGTTCTCTGCCCAGCTCCTGCTTTTCCTGGTCCTACCCTGCTTGAAGATGCTGAGTCTAAGAGCAGTCTGAGCTATCTGTTTCCTGGCTCCTGACCACTCCAACTCCAGAGATGTGGGCAGGATAGGAATTAGGTTTCACAAAGAAGCTGCACGATTAGTTTTGGCCATGACAATATCAAGTGTGGAGGATATAGTAGGCACAGACTATGGCTTCTGCTGTTATCCTGAGCTCTCTGAAAGGTAATGTTGCCTGGTCTATTCTCACTTGTATCAGCTCAACAGGGCCAGGCTGGCAGCAAGGGAAACCTGGCAGGATCCCAAAGGAACACATTTAAGGCTGGTGAAGAAGAAATTTACTTTGCCTTCAACCAACTGAACCCTAAGGGAAGGAACCACATGTGTAGAAAGAGAACTGGACAATGTCAGGAACAGACAGGCTTGAGTCTCCGGGGATGAGAGAGGAAAAGCAAAGAAACTTCCTTTTCTCCAATTCCTGCCAGTAAGAGGCAGTTCACTTTGGGCCTTTATTTCAGCCCCGGATTTGAGGCCCTGCTAACAGTCAAACAAGTAGGACTAGAACCACTTGTTCTGATGGTGAGACCTGGTTGGCAAAGCCATCACATCTAGTCCTACTTCTGATCAATGCCTCAGCAGGTCTACTGAAGGCACTTTTGATCCACAACTCCTATCTCAGGGTGGTCTGGGCAATGTAGCCCTGAAGGGACTCTCTGAAACCTCCAGGTGGGCTACTTTGTCATCTCACAGGGAACCAAGTCCTAGTCTCTCCTGCAATTCAATGTCTGTGTTAGCCTACAGAGTCCAGAAATGTTCTCCTTTTGGGGGATTCTTTCCTGTAACAGACACTTGAGGCACCGTGATTCTCAATTTGTCTTCTGTATCGTTCTCTGAAGCCTTTTATGCCACTGGTATTTTTTTTTTGGCTGAGATTGCATTTTTTTGGTACCAGGAATTGAACTAAGTGCCACTGAGCTATATCCCCGGCCCCCTGCAGCCTTTTAAAAGTCAAGCAAACTTGGTCATATCCCTCCCTGATAAAAACAACTTTGGCTTGAGATTACCCTCAAAACAAAGCTTCAGGGCCTGGGAGATAGCTCAGTGGCATAAACACCTGCCTGGCAAGCACAATGTCCTGAGTTTGATCTTCAGTACAACAACAACAAACAAACAAACAAACAAACAAACAAAGCAGCAAAACTCCAACTCTTTTCTTTTATCATGTTTCTCTCTGTGGCCCAGACAAACCAGCTCTTGAGAGCTTTTGTCAGTTCCCACCAAAGCCCCAATCAATATTGGGTTTGGCCATCGGGTCATGGAATTGTGTTCTTCCAGTACAATGACAGCCTGACTTATGAGGCATCTCCCTTCTGGTCCCCTCTGTGCTAAGTGAGACACATCCTAGGGGACCAGACAAAAGTAGAATCCTGGCCACATAGTCCTGCTTGATTTGTGCAGGGATGAGGCTTCCTCCCTCAGGAAGTGAGTACTGAAAGGTCCACCCATTTAACAGAAGGCCTGACCACTTAGGAAAAGCTGGGCTTGGGCAGAACTTCAGGGGGCCAGGGAGATCATTTGGGGGCTAGGGAGATGGCTCAGTGGAATAAGTGCTTCCCTGGCAAGCGCAAGGGCCTGAGTTCAATTCCCGGTTCTGTGAAAAAAAAAAAAAAAAAAAGAAAAAACCAAACCAAACCAAACCAACCAACAAACAAAAAGAACTTCAGAAATTATTGGGATTTTGCTGTAGTACTATCTACCCTCTCAATGTTCAACCTAGCTCAGGAGATGGTCGTGCACAAACTTATTCCTCAATGACAAAGCTGGTAGGGTGGGAAGTGCCAGGATGTGGCCACGGGCCTTGATTAGAATGTCCTATACAAACCCTTTCCTAATCCTCTCTGTCTCATATCTAGAGTTTTCTGGAACTTACTTTTTAGGCCCAAAAAGGTCAAATCACTGCTTTTAGACTTTCTTCTAGGCCTGAGTAACTTAAGACATTCAGGCCTCAATTCCATCCTCAAGTTAAGAGAATCTAGTCAACCAGAAAATGTTCCTCCTCACCTTGATTCTCTGCCTTACTTTTGGTCTGGACCACACTGCCTCATTGGCATGTCTCATTACCAGGAGGCTAGCAGCTCTGAGGACCACTTGGTGTGGCTCTAGATGAGTCCCTGAACAAGTCAGCATCAGCTAAGAAGGCTAACAGTGGGCTTTCACAGTGCTGAGCTCTCTTGTGCCTCACTGAGCTGTGCAGAGCTGAGAGCTCATAGGCCTCCTGCACAGGGATGTACCTCTAACTATAACCCTCCTGGGGCATGTATTTGAAATGGGTATACAGCTGATTTAACCAGTAAGCCAAGAAAAGGGCATGAAATTCTACTGGAGAATCTAATAAAGGTACCAGGTACCAATACTTTTAGGAGGTTGAGTGGCAACAAAAGCCTCTGAGCCTCTGAGTCCAACTGGGGTTAAGTCAGAAAAATTCCTCAATATCCCAACATAGAAAATGGAGGCAAAATGAGGATAAGAGTTTAAAATAAACATTACTGGTGGGGTTGAGATGGAGGAAAGCCATGGGTAGTTTATGGACTGTCCTCTACTGCTCAGCTTTTCTGTGCAGAATTAAAATGTGGTGCCAGGAAATTCCTTTCCAACAAGCCAATCACCACCATTAGTCACCAGCTCTGCTCTTATTAGGACCACTCTGAACTGAGATAACCAAATACCCAGCGCTACAGGTAGGGAAAGGACTTTAGTAAAACTGTAAGGTACGGTATTATTCGGTTTATGTACTTGCTTACTCAGATCTTTTCAGGTCTCACTATGTACTTCAGGTTAGCTTCAAATTTGAGGTGATCCTCCTGCCTTAGCCTCCCAAGTGCTGGGATTATACGCATATGCCACCACACCTGGCATTCAGGTTGGTAAGAAAGCACAAACTGAAAGCCTCATATACCCACAAATGCAGAAACCAAGGAAACACCCTTTACTATTTGAGGCAGCCTTCAAGACTGATGTCAGGGGCTGGTGAGATGGCTCAGTGGTCTAAAGCACCTACTTAGAACAAGCTTAGCAAAGCACAGGGACCACCGTGGTTCAATCCCCCAGCACCACATGCCAGCCCGCCCCGCCCCCTGGTGGCTGAGCTGGCCACACACACACACACACACACACACACACACATAAAAAAATAAAAAAAAAGACTGATGTCAACTATGGTATGGAAAAGTGACAAACAAGTAGTCTCAATACTCTGAAGTAGGGATCCTTAACCATTTTGGGCAACTCATTCTTTTGAGAATACTAAAAACCATGGTCTACATATACATCCTAACTGAAAACTGCCTAGATTTAAAAAAAAAAAAAAAAAGATAACCATATATGCACAGGACATTCTATATTTGATTTCAAAGGTTCCTAGAATCCGACTTTAAGAACCCCAAGCTTAATTAAACAGAAATAATGTACTTAGATATGTATCTCCCGTTAACAAAACCTTGCTGAGAGAAGCGGATGATACCAATTCTATTGAATAACAATAATCACCAGCTGCTGTGTGCCAGGTTGTATGTACATGTGTAAGGTCATTATGATCCCCATTTTACAGAGAAAGGGACTGACATTCAGAGGATAAAGTCAGATGCTCTGAAGGGCACTGCTAGGCTTGAGCTAAGTCTCAAGCCTTAGTTGGCAAGATTTAGAGTTCTATGCCTTTTCTTTCTTTTCTATGCCTTTTCTATTTTGCAAAATAGCATTCACCTGACAATGAAGTAACAGGCCTGGATTGTGGACTAAAGCCTATTATACACTAGGTGCAATGGGCTACATGATGATCTCTAACTGTATCTTTCTTTTTCATTTTTCTTTTAGGTACTGGGACTCGAACTCAGGACTTAAGTGTTTGCCATGTATGAGCTTATGCCACTGAGCTATCTCCCCAGTCCGTCTAACGGCATCTTTCCAACCAGCACTACAGTTGATGAGCATTATGTGTAAAAGAGAAAAGGATCAGAGTCTAGGTATCCAATAGGTCACTTCTCCTCTCCTGAGGACAATAATGGTCACCCATCAGTACCTGATCTAGGATGTAGTTGCGTTTCTTGCGGGCAGCAATCTGGATGAGGCGGTTGAGGCACTGGGTGGCCTGCTGGATCAGGACATCCCAGCGGCCAGCATAGTTCCGCTGCCGGCGCAGGCCCATCACCTGTGGGCAGATGGTGAAGAGGAGTGAGTGATCCTAGATAAAAGGCAGCACTTAGCAGGTCGAAAGCAGGTAGGGAGAGTCCAAGGACCATCCTTACCCGCATCTTATCCATGATAGCATTGGTACCCAGTATGTTGTACTTCTTGGAAGGATTGGAAGCTGCATGTTTAATGGCCCATGTAGTCTTGCCAGCAGCAGGCAGGCCCACCATCATCAGAATCTACAATAACAGGAGAGGAAAGGGGTGCTGTGAAATAACGGTAGCATTGGTGACATGGTATCACTCTGGCTAGCTGGTGGCCACAGCAGTGACTCACAGTTGCTTCTGGGATTCAAAAACATGAAGCTCTTAATACAGCACAGTACTAAATTACATGCTATTAGCAATTACATTTTTGTTCAAGGTTTAAATAGCCTCTGACAGGGAAAAACACAGGGAGAGGCATGAAGTGAGATGGGTTCACAGAGGTAAGAAAAGTAATATAACCTTTCTATTCTTTGAAACGCTATTTGTTTATTCATTTTGGCGGAACCAGGGATTGAATTCAGGCCCTTGGCTAGGCAAGCGCTTATTCTACTGAACCATCTCCACGGCCCCTCTGAAATGCTAACCCAAGTGTATACGTAGGTTATAAATTACATCTAATCATTAAGAATTTGGCAAACACTAGCTGTCAACTACATGCCCAGTTTGTGTTTTGTTTTTTTTTTAGGCGGAACTGGGGATTGAACTCAGGCCCTTGCACTTGCCAGGGAAGCGCTTATTCCACCGAGCCATCTCCCCGGCCCCAACATGCCCGGTTTGTGAGGCCTTTAAAATTATGTTTAAAGCTAGTTAACTGTGGTGGCACCTGCCTGCAGTTCCAGCTACTCGGATCCTCAGGTAGGAGGATCACCAGAGCTTAGGAGTTCAAGGTCATCCTGGACAACACAGACACCAATTCAAAAAACAAAACAAAACAAAACCTCAAAGAGGTTCTTATGTAGTGTGAAAAACCACACAAACTAATATTCAGTGAAAAGGGCAGGTTATCAGCTGCTTTATGTTAAGACCTTATAAACATGAGCATACATTATATACATGAAGCACTCATGGAAAAGAACAGGACCAACACCAAAATTCTCGAAGTAAAATCTGCAGATAGTAGAATTATGGGAAATTTAAATTTTCTCTGTATTTAGTTTTCTAGAATAAAATATAAACCACTAAACAAAAATTACCAATGTAGCTACTACAGCCAAAGGCCATTTTGTCTTTTTATTTTTAGCTAGCCCTGCGTAGGAGGACAATTGCTCAATCTCTCCAAGAACATTGGGTGGCAGCGTACACTTATCATGAAGCGCCTGGTGTCCCTGTCCGCTGTGAGGAAAGCCTCCTTTCTCCACACTCCGGCCTCACTCAAGGGCAGTGCATGTGCTTCCTACTGAAACCTTTCTAAGACTTAGGCAGACTCTATTTGCTCCTCTCTTTACAGCCTAAGCCACACCCACATCCTTCACTTCACCCACATAGCAACCTTTTAAATGACCCAGCCCTGAGGAACTGAGATCAAGTCACTTGACTCCCAAGATTACCCATGCTGTGAGTTTTTATTTCACCACACCTAGTCTCCTGAGAACAGCAAAATGTCCTTAGGAGAGGGGAGGTGACTTTGGCAGCAAGGCAACACTGGAGAAGCTGCTACTAATTCAGACATCTACCCCTCTTACCTCACACTCTGCTTTGCTCTTTGGTCCAATGGTGCCTCGGATCCGCTCACTAAGGGGAAGGTGCTGGATGAAAGTAAACCCTGGCAGGACAGAACAGTAGGGTTCTGCTCTCTGTCCGAAGTTGAACTCTACAGCACAATTCTTCACCAGAACATGAGGGTAGAGGGCCTGACCCCCCAAGGCTTCCTTCTGGATTCGGAAGGCAATGCCCATCCACTTCCCGTTCTTGGTAAAGGAAAGTTCCACATCATTTCCACATTCGAAGTCCTACAAAAAAAAGTCAAAGGACAGTAATTGCCAATTCTTAGCTTAAAATACTAGGGGCCACAAGCCTAAAGGGTGGATGCAGGAAGTGGAAATACAGCTAGCTTTCTAGAAGTGAGTATACTCCTCCCTCAACATCCAAGCGGGGCCGGGGAGATGGCTCAGTGGAATAAGCACTTCCCGGGCAAGCGCAATGGCCTGAGTTCAATCCCCGGTTCTGCAAAAACAAAGACAAAAACATACATCCAAGTAAGCTGGGAAGTAAAAGGGAAGAGCTCAGAAAATGTCCAGCTCAAATTCCTCCCTATGGAAGTTGTTAGAGGTGATATATAAATAATTTTAAGGAGTTTCAAGAATTTCATGCTGGCTGGGGAGACAGCTCAGTGGAATAAGTGCTTGCCTGGCAAGTGCAAGGTCCTGAGTTTGATCACTGGTACCAAAAAAAAAAAAAAAAAAATTTCATGTCAACTTGAGATGAAGGTTGAAGAGACAATATGAAGAGATGAAGGAAAGCCACAACAGGGCCTTTTTAAAGCTGACTCCAGCTCTACACCTGCTCATCACACATTTCATGAGTTTCTATGCTTCCCAGTACACGTCTGCAGTGATCTGGGCCTCATGGAACTCAAGGACCAGTGTGGAGCTAGACAACAATACTGTTTATCAAAGTTAAGAAGACCTGCCAGGTACAAGTTTCTCTAAGGAACTTAGTCCTGAACAATAAAAGCAAGGAGAGTAATCTGTGTACAAGTACTACTACGTGTGTACCAGAGAAGCTAGGGTCAGACAGACTAAAACATAAAAGATGCAAATATAATTTGAGGTTCAGCTGTAAGCCATGCGAGGCCACATATATTCATTCAACTATCAAGGCACTAAAGTTCAATGGGTCCTGTTTCAGAAGACAGTGCTTTGTTTTGCCATTTACTAATTTTGTGGGACCTTGGGTGAATTACTTTATCTTATTTTCTTTTCAAAAAAGGGAGATAATATTTATATTATATATAGAGCTATTCTTAGGATTACGCTGATTAGTATACTTAACACAGAATGTGCTCACCAGAAGTGTGTACTACCACTACAAGCTGCCAGGAACTGACCTGGATGTCAGGCCTGGGGGGGCGGGGGGTGCCGAAGAGTCATGGTCCCACCTCATTGTGTAAGTTGCTCTCCAAATCATCTCAGAAATTTGGACTTGATGCTGATGGCAGAGCAGGCTTCTGACTTGTTTTGAATAGGGGAATGGCCTGCTCTACACTGTTTTAGAAGATCAACTTAGTTGCAGAGTAAAAGGTTTAAGTAGTCTCAAAATGGGATGAGACAGTAGACCAAAGCAAAGTACAAGGTTCAAGCTGGACCTAGTGACATACGTCTGCAATCCAGAGCCTGGGAGGCTGAGGCGAGGCTGAGGCAGAAAGACTGCCAAGTTTTAAGCCACTGGGACACAATAGGAAGATTTTGTCAATCACAATTAAATGAACAAACGCCTAATTTCTGACATAAAAGTTCATGTATAGTATTTTTTCTCTCAACAGGGATACCACCTTGTGACTTGCCCTTTAAGGAGTAGTGGAAACACCTTCTCTTGAGGAGCTTTCTCATTACTCTCCTTAGCACTCTTGGTCTAGCACTGTATCAGAAAATTCATGTCCATGCAACCACAACCCCTTCCTTTAGGTACCCAGGGCCCCATTCGTGCTAGGTAGGTGCTCAATAACTGAGCTGCACCTCCTCATTGCATTATATGTACGCAAGTCTAGACCACCAGAAGAGACATGCCAACACTGGCCAGACTGAATCCTGCCGAGGCTGCAGTGCAGTCCAAGACTTCCCATGTGAGGACAAGTGGTTCTAGGCACCTCTGCTCTGACATGGAAATGAGCACTGTGGGTGTCAGTCTGCCTTGTGGTCACCAGCTTTATTATAGGAGCTTATCATACCACACAGAAAACTAAAACTGTACTCTCAACCAACAAATTCACCACCCACAGAGCCATCTGTCTAAAAGGCAATGGTACATGGGTAGCTCCTGCTCCAATATTTCTATACCAGTCTGAACCTAAAGTCCCAAATTTCTGAAGCCAGAATTATTCAGTGTCCTGTTTTTACAGCCTCATCTTTTATGCCTCTGTGCCCCCTTGACTCCAAGTATTCTATTGCTTACAGTTTGCTGAAAGGAGTTATCCTCTTCTCTCTATCCCAAAAAACTACCTTTACCCTTTTTAAGAAGTGCAAGAGCCAAGACAAATGACCCACTCTGTTTCCCTCTGACAGATGATGACAACATCTCGTTTCCAGTCTGAGCTTTTATAAATTTGGGGCTTCCTCTAATCAAAGGAAATTGTATACAGAATCTTGAAACTGGAAGAAAAGATGACCTGGCAGAAAGAACTGGGAGATTCTGCCCTGCTGCACACCCAAAGAACCTCAAGCTTTGAGAAAGATTGTCATATACTGATTTCTACAACAATGCAAAGATAACTGGGCACAGTGGCATACACCTACAATCTAAGTATTCTGGGCAGCTCACTGTAAGTCAGAAAAACTGTAAGTTGGAGACTAGTCGAGGCAATTTGAGGTCTTGTCTCAAAATAATAAATGAAAGGGCTGGGAGATATAGCTTATGCATGAAGAATCTGGGTTCAATCCCCAGCACCAGGGGAAAAAAATCTCTAAAGAGGATATGCGAAAGGGGAGATTGAGAGGCAGAGGAGAAAGTTTGTATTTACGATCACATTCTTTTTTTTTATATTCGTATTTTTCTGGGGGAACGATACAGGGTCTTGCTACACATTTTGGACTCATAGTGATCCTCCTGTCTCAGTCTTCCAAGTGCTGAGATTATAGGTAGGTGCCACCATGTCCAGTTCCTGGACTAGCACAGCATATGAGGATCAAACTCAGGACCTTGCGCTTGCCAGACAGGCGCTCATGCTGCCCAGCTATCTTGCCAGCCCTATATTCATAAATTGACTATTTAAAAAAATGTTTCGGGGGCTGGTGAGATGGCTCAGTGGTCTAAAGCACCTATTTAGAACAAGCTTAGCAAAGCACAGGGACCACGGTTCGGTCCCCCAGTACCACATGCCAGCCAGCCCTGCCCCCTGGTAGGCTGAGCTGGCCACACACACACACACACACATACACACACACACAAATAAATAAAATTTAAAAAATTCTAAAAAAAAAAAAAAATGCTTCGCCAAGACACCTGTGAGCTGTTAGCTTTTTCTGTTTTATTCCTTTTGAGAACTTTTGAATAAAAAAACTCTTGAAACTTAAAAAAAAAGAAGTGTCTAATTAAGCTACTTCTGTATTGTCTATGAGCCACAGAAGATGGCCAGGACTACTGTTAAATAGAACTGCAAGGTTTAGATGATTCTGTAGAGTATAAACATGGTTAATTTCTATTGAAAGTCTTAATTAAAAGGTTATAAAATACACAGGAAGCCTCAGAAACTTTCAGAATAAAAGGAATCTAAAGACATGGAATAGAATGGTATGCATAATACTGAACTAGATCTTGACCAGAAACTAAATCTAATTGGAGGGTATTGTTCAATGAACAAAAAAAAATGTTGGCTGTGGTGTAGGGGTAGGTTATTATCTTAATGTTAAATTTAACTGTACTGTAGACAATAGTTTTAAGAAAAATACTGAAATACTAAGAAATTAAAAGTATGAACCTATGCTTAAATGGGTAAAGTACAAATTATACACGCATACATACATACATGCAAATGAAAGCAATGTGGTAAAATCTGTTTAAAGCCTCAGAATTCTCCATTCTTATTTTGTGAACTTAAAATTATTTCAAAACTAAAAAAATAGAAAGTACACATGTACAAATATTGAGGGAGGAAAACCAAACCAAGGGTCATCCATCCAGGTATTCCTTGTAGGCCCTTCCCTGGTGGCATGGTTTACAAACATCCCCTGTAACTCCTAATGCTAACTAACTGTATTGAGATATTCTATGTGCTTTTTATCAGTTAACTTGATGCTACACAAATGTGAGATAGGTACAAAGATTCTCAGGTAGAAGACAGGGGAAGTTGTCATGGGCTAAGTGGCAGAGGAAGGACTGGGTCCAAGGAATCCAGCCCCAGAGCCAACAGTCACAGCATTACATCAGTCAGAACTACTGTGTGTAGTACAGCTGAAAAACTGTTATTCTCCCTTTAAGATTTTTCTAATCATTTGGAAAGAGGTAAATCATATTTTACTGACTAAAAATTTATTCTCTTCAATATTATCTATACCCAAAACACTTTACTTTCTACGTTCCTCTTCCTTTTTTCTTAGGTCAGGCACTATCTAGCTTGTTCTGGTCTGCACCTGCCCCTGCTGCAGAAGACAGTGCATGGACAGACATCAGTACAACTAATGTGAGATTAAGAAAGAGGCTAGGAGAAGATGCTAATGTGGGACAAGAGCCAACACATTACCTTCAAGAGCGGACAGGTTATTTCCTAACGAAGAAAGGTAAGAAACTTCTAGGTTTGGTGAAAAAATACTGTGCCTGCTTCAGCAGCACACATAGTAAAATTTATTTAAAAGATCACTCATATAGGAACAGAGGAAGGCTGTATACACCTGATCTCACCAAAACTCTTCAGGAGTTTGGAAGAGCTTTACATAAAAGACCAGAGGTGGTATAAGTCACACAAAGGACAGTATATATTCTAGTCTGTCAAAGAGAAACAAAGAAATATGTTGAGTGGCTGGATATGCAGCAGACAACGGATAGAGGTATCCTGAAAAAGAATTCTGCAGCTAGGCCAGGAGTGGTGGTGCATGCTTATAATCCCAGCACTTAGGCTGAGGCAGGATTGCTATAAGTTTTGAGGCCAGCCTACATAACGAGAACCTGTCACAAAAAGAAAGAGAGGGAAAGAAAGAGAGAGAAGAGAGAAAAGACAAGAGAAGAGAGAAGGAAACCTATAGCTCAACATTTGGTCTGCCAACACAGGTAGCTAGCACTCACAGCAAAGCAGCCAATCACATCATTCTCTGCAAACTTGTCTCCGTAGTTCTCAAATCGGCTATTGGTGGACTTCTTCCCTGTGCCTCCATAGCCATAGGAGAAAGGCTCTTCGCCTGATGGAACAAACAGGAACAAGCAGGTAAAACTGTGACAGTCACAACAATTTCCATAGTTGCCACATGCATTTTTCCTTTTCTTTTTTGTACTGGCAATTGAACACAGCTGAGCTATATCCCCAGTCCCTTTACTCTGTAAATTTTTGTTTTGTGATAGGGTCTTACTATGTAGTTTAGGCTCGCCTTGAACTCATAGTGATCCTCCTGACTCAGCCTCTGAAGTGCTGGGACTACAGGCATGGGCCACCATGCCTGGCCACTTCAAAAATATTAACGCAGGATCTCAATAAGTTCTGGGCAGCTTGTCTCAGCCTTCCAAAAGCTGCATTACAGCTATGTGCTACCATGTCCAGCTATGCATTTACCTTTGTTTTTTTTAAAATTTTTTTTATTTATTTGTGTGTGTGTGTGTGGCCAGCTCAGCCCACCAGGGGGCGGGGCTGGCTGGCATGTGGTGCTGGGGGATTGAACCGCAGTCCCTGTGCTTTGCTAAGCTTGTTCTAAGTAGGTGCTTTAGACCACTGAGCCATCTCACCAGCCCCTATGCATTTACCTTTGAAGACAAAAATTATTTTACTTACTAGGTTTATCAAAAAGATACCCCTTTTCTGGAGGGGTAAAGGGAGAGAAGGTTGAAAGGAGTCCCTTTAATTATACAAAGCTCCTGAGGTTTTAAGTGTGTCAAATCTGGTAACAGGTATTGAACTGAACTGTTCTGCATAGAAAGGTTTTGAAAATGTGGGGACAACAGGAGCTGAGATGAAGAGAGTTTTGTACTGATATGCATCTCCTGTGACAACAATATTTAATCAAGTTCACAAACATCAAATTTTTCTGTGCCACTGGAGTTTTAGCAAACTCTGAAGCTGGGTTTTGCTTCTAGAATACTATGAGGATGCATCTACAGGAAAGGTATTGAATGTTCTTAGGCTACAGAACTGAGTGCTGAAGAGACCTGCTCAAAATCCCAAGGATCCTAGAGGACACGTGGGATTTAGGTCCTCTTAGAGATCCTTGATCAGAAACTCCAAAGAGCATTCTGTCAGAAAAGCAGGAGCCAACAAGCAAGAAATAATCCTGAACATATTATTCAATCCAGCTGGATTTTACTTCAAGTGGATCAAATACCCATCACCTACATTTCAAACTAAGACATGAAATGGCCTATCATTTTAAAATAAAGTGCTAATATAAGCCAGAGGCAATGGCACGTATCTGTAATCCCAGCATCTTGGGAACCAGGAGGATCTTAAGTTTGAGGCAACACAGTAAAGATCCTGTCAGAAGAGAGAAGAGAAAGGAAGAAAAAAGGGGCTGAAAGTAGCTCAGTAGACTAAAGTGCCTGCTTAGGCAGAGCATAGTGGCTGGGGTTCAATTTCCAGCTTCCCAGCCCCGCCTCTGGGGCGTGCTGAGCCAGCAATTGGGCATGGGGGCACACACCTGTAATCCCAGTATTTAGGATGCTGAAAACAGGAGAATCATTAAGAGTCCGATCTACGTAGTGAGACCCTGTAGACCCTCTATACCCTGTACCATATACACAAAAAAGAAAAAAAAGGGAGGGGGAGCTGAGAAAGTAGCTCAGCACTGTACTGCTTCCCTAGCATGCAGGAGGTCTTGGGTCCAATCTTCATACCACCAGGACAACCAAAAACACCTAAAAATTTCCCCTCAAATTACTACTATACATCAAAATGCAAATACACACTACATACTGTATGTGCATGGAATGAACTAATATATCTACTGTAAAGAATTAGACTTAAGGTGCAATGGCACACAAAGGCATTACCATTATTTTTTTAAATGTATTTGGTACAGGATCTCACTATGCAGCACAGACTCATAATCTTCTCCCCAGCACTGGAATTACAGGGAGTGCGCCACCACGACCAGTCTCTGCAGCTGGCTGTGTGCCTGGGGGTGGGGGTGGGGCTGGTGCAGCATGTGGTGCTGGGGATCGAACCCTAGTCCCTACACTTGCCTAGGCAGGCACTCAGTCCTCTGAGCTATCTTGCTGGCCTGGCATTACTGTTTAACAACAAAAATTTGCCTTTAACTTAGATGAGCTATAAAGTTAAACGTAGTGCACACACTATACTTTGTTAAGTACAAATAAAGTAATACTTATTTTCATATTCTCACATTAAAAGAAATCAAGCTATACAGCAGGATCCATACTATGACTCAGTTTGAATATGTACAAAAAACGAAAGAAATATCTAGAAGACTGCAGATAAAAGACACTGAGGCCTGGAGTCCTGTGAAAATTCAAAGTCTTTCAATGGGCAGCCCCTGCCTCTCTACCAATCAGCTCTGGGCCCATTCTTTCCTGGTTCACCATCTACTTTTTTCCTTTTTCTTTTTGTTAGTACAGGGTCTATGGGGTCTCACTATGTAGACTGGACTCATAGTGATCCGCCTGTGTTCAGCCTCCCACGAGCTGGGATTACAGGTGCACACCCAGTCTCAATCGCCATCTCAGTGCACCCCCTCCCCCCCCGGGTGGGCAGGGTCCCATCTACTTCTTCTAGGTTAGGCTGCGGGCAGCATCTACCCAGAACTTAATGTGGCTTTAGAATTTATTTTCTGTGTGTTTCAAGGGCAGGAAACTGATATTTTTGAAAGGGAACAATTTTCGGAAGAGAACTTTGAGCATTCTCCTAGAAGTGAAGGATAAGAATTCCTTTTAGAAGAGTTGTTCCATAATCGTGGTCCTTCCAAGTGAATCTAGCATGAATGAAGACAAGCAGTGCCTTTTCTACCCCAGTGAGTTATGTTGAAGTCTCACACTGGGAAGAGAAGCTTAGGAGCTTTCAGAATCCAGGTGTAGGGGCATCACTCAGGTCTGCCTGGTTGACCTCTCCTTACCTAGTTGGGTGCTGCAAGAGTCCAGGGACCAGCCAATACGTACAACGTGGGGGTCAGGCTCTGTAGATGGAAGGTGCTTCACAGAGATTTCCTCATTGATCTGAGGAGACAGGGCAAAAAGGCTCAGGACTGATCCTTTGGAAACAAGTTATGAGTCAATATACAAAGGAAGTACATTAGATATTAAACAGTGATGAATTCAGTTGCTGTAGAAGCATTTAAATAGCCCTAACGAAGAAAGCCTGCTTCAGTGAAATCAGGGTCTCCAGGGGGAGTGGGAGTATGTAGGGCCACAGAGACCTATTTCAAAATATATTTTCTAGTTTTAACACATCCGCACTCTAGTGGATGTGAACTACCCATATGTTTGGTGAGAGGATGAAGTGATGCAATGTCTCTGGAGGGCAACCTAGCAGTTTCTATCAAAACTGTAAGCACAAATGTATTAATTCAGCATTTCTGCTTTATCCTATAGATATACTCAAGTATACATGGATGTAATGTAGAAACATGGAATATTCAGTTTTTATACTTATTTATTAAAAAATTGTTTTATATGTATTTTAAAAAGTACAAAAATTTACTAAGGTATGGTACAATCATGCCATAACAATACAACACACAATTAAAAAGGAGGAGGCAGGACTAACATAATGGTATGGAAACATATTTGACACAGAGTAAGAGGGGAAAAAAGATCCTTTGACTTAACATTAAAGTTAAATGTCTGATTGCCTACTTACCGTTTCTAGCTACCTGTTTTGCTTTGTGGCCTTTGGAAAGTCAACATATTTCACTGATTTTTAGATACACATTCTTCATGTTTTAATATCTCTAAAATAATGATCCATTTTACAAATACTATATTGTGATAAAAAGCACTGTATAATTTGACAGTATTCCATTCAGAGTGGCAATAAAATGTGTCATTTACATCACTGGTGTTCTAGTCAACAAAACATTACCTTGCCTCAGCTTCCATTTCCAAAACCTGGGGATATAACAGTACCTATTTTGTGATGATACCATGAGGATTAATGGGGACAATCCAGGTAGAGGTTGGCCCTGTGTCTTATGCATATAAAGGACCCTACATATATTAGCTACCACAGCGAAGTTCAGATATACACCAGGTACACAAGAAATGTTCAACACAAGTAAGTTATTTCTGGGGAGTAGGCTGGTAAGACACAAAAATAACCTGTTTTATCCTTTATACTTTTGTGCCCTAACCTGGAGTAGAATTTTTGAGAGTTTGTTGGCAGTTTTTTGTGCTGCTCTCCCTCTGGCTTCCCTTTAAAGTAGCTGACACAGTATATTCTGTAGAGATTACTTTTTGTTTTTCTTCAGACAGGGTCTTGCTATATATTTTAGGCTGGCCTTCAACTTGTGGTAATCCTGTCTCAGTCTCCTGAGTGCTGGAATTACAAGTGTGAGCCACCATACCAGTTACTTTTCTTTCTTTTCCCTGGTATTATTGAACATGTCACCGATAGACTGGCTGGCAATATAACTGGAACAAATCCCATAAGGAAAAAACTTGTTTGATGAAATAATGTCTGGCCGGACTCTGCTTCTGCTATTATGGTTAGCAGTGCTACAGATATTCACTCTCCTTTTGTTTGTTGGGTGTGCTCTGAGATCAATCCAATCTCTTGTAGCTGTGGTTCTAAGATGGCTGATGACAGGCTAATTCCAATGAATGTACCTGCTTTCTCTCCTTATCCCTTTGGTTGTTCCCGCTCACCTTCATCTCAAAACACACACGGCCTCTTCTGACTCCATAGCTGGCACGGGCTCCTGACCACAGGTATGCAAAACCCTCAATTGTGAGTGGATAGCCACTACTCCGGTCTCGGGCTACCTTGAAGTGCAGGTCACAGTTATCTGTAGAGGAAAAAGCCTGCAATGGGCTAATGTTTTAAAGGTCTTAGGAGTGGGACAGGCAGAGGACAATTCCTCCAATGTGTTAATACTGGCTAAAACATTATAGGAAGAGTTCAAGAAGAACAAGGATGGTCTCTAGCCCCCTCTCCCTTTGAGTAGAAAGTCTGGAATAATGTAAACTGGCCTGTACTACGCTACAGGAGTTGGGGTCCAAGTATAGGCTTCAGGGTCATCCTTTACTAATGCTTTTGTTAAAATTATTTTTTTATTTTTTGGTACAGGGTCTTGCTAGGCAGTTCAGACTCATAGTGATCCACCTGTCTCAACCTCCCTAGTGCTGAGATTACAAGTGTGTGCCACCATGCCCAGTTTTGGGTTGGCAATGGGGATCGAACTTGGGACCTTGAGCTTGCCAGGCAGGCGCTTATGCTGCTGAGTTATCTCCCCAGTCCACTAATATATAATTTCTAGGGGAAAGGACCATATTCTCACCAGTTTCAAATTTAGAACTCAGAATATAAGGAAGATTGGTATTTGCCATCATATTTTTTAAGTACTCATATGAAAGGTAAGTTTCTATTGCCAACAGTGGCATGAGTCTAATCCACACCTACCACCAAGGCACCAAAGTACAGGTGTACAAGCTCCCACCCTCTCCTACTGTAGTCTTTATTTTCCCCATTCTTCAAGGAGCCAGTTCTAACTCCAAGGAAGCCTTTTCTCACTATCTCATCCAAGGGGTGTACTCCTTTCTCCAAAAGCTGAGCACAACTGTCTGTGCATTTCCCATGTGATGGATGAGCTGCTGCTTCACCCACACTTTAAAAAAAAAAAAAAAGAATAAATAAAATTTAAAAAAAAATTTAGCTTTACTCTGGGAAGACACTGTCTCTTCAAAGCCTGGGACAGATAGCTCAGTGGTATAAGTGCCTGCCTGGCAAGCATAAGGTCCCAAGTTCTATTCTCCTGTACTGGAAAAAAAAAAAAAAAAAAAAAAAGCACCTGACAGAAGCAATTGTGTACATCTATCTCTTATCAAAGCACAGTGCCAATGCTCTATAGACAGAACGAAAATGAACTCTTTATGCTTTACTAACAAGTAAAGCTGTTCTTAGACTTGATTAGGTTTTCTTTCTTTCTTTTGTATTTTAGTACAGGGTCTACAGGGTCTCACTATGTAGCTCGGACTCCTAGTGATGCTCCTGTGTTCAGCCTCCCAACAGGTGGGATTACAGGCATGTGCCACCATGCGCCCAGTCTCAATCACCCGTTTCAGCGTGTCCCAGGGAGCAGGGCGGGGACCAGTAGGCTGGGGATTGGACCTTGGCCACTGCATCTGCCGAAGTAGGCACTTAAGTGCTTAGCTATTTGGCCAGCCTTACAATTAGGTTTCTAGGCACGTGTAAATTTGAATCTCACTGCATCTAATACTTGATTCTGATTTAGAAGGTTGGAGTATTAAATCCCCATCATCACTCCTGTGTTTAGATGTGCAGTGAAAGCCAATGGAAGGAAAACTGAACTGGCGAGGACAGAGGTGGCCAGGCTAGTGCCTCAGAGACACAGTGGCATTAGTTTCACCCCAGGAATGTGAGCAGATGATGGAAACTTGGGGACTGGTCACCAACGAGTTAAGTTTCCCTAGTAGCACTCAGATTCCTTTTCTGATTAGATGACAACACCTTGTGTGAACAGGGTAGCTGAGTTCCCAAATTGCTCTTGGACCCTTCTCAGAAGAGTGTACTGCTGGGTGTGGTGGTACACACCTATAATCCCAGCACTCTGGAGACAGAGGCAGGAGGAACTCTTAGTTTGAAGACAGCCTGGGCTACAAAATGAGTCCTTGGTCACCCCTAAACTGCATAGTGAAACACTGACTCAAAAACAAAAACTAAAGAGACGTGTATAATGAAAACCTTCTGAAGTGTGAAGACTGGATTGATGACTCCTCTCTGAAAAGAAGCTTGGAGGAGTGACTTGCCCAGGGTCTACAGCTACACTGGGAACAGACCTTTTGTCTCTGCCCCAGCACCCTTATTCCAGAGCTTTGCTGGGTTCCACATTTGGACTAACAAAGTCAGGGACTCTGGAGAAGGTCAGGGCACAAATGGCCAAAAAAACTGACTAGAAGGCAGAATCAGGCGGGCATCCCAGGGACTCACATGTGTCGATGGCAACAAGGGTGTCATCGAAGTCATCTTCATCTTCTTCAGCAGGAGGCTGAGGAGAACGGCCCCTATGTTGGAAAGGTTCAGTCATACAAGAATACTTGCAGAAGCACAGAGTGAGAGAAATAAATGTTTTGCTGGAATTTGTAAGTAGCCAACTCCTTCCTGGATCTCCATTCTTTTGTCCAAAGAATGTAGCAAAAAAATTTTGGAACTCTACATATTTGCACAAAGAACATTGCCTGTGAACCCCTGTGATGAGGTTAGAGATTATGAGCTGTCTGCTGGGAAGTGGCATCTGACCCATTCAGAGATTTCTCTTGGGTCCTTCTTTCAACTCCACCCTGAGTGACCTGTGCTGTCTGCATACTGACAACCACTTCCTCATGGGACTCTCACTGACTAGAAGGTATGATATCCAAGTGGGGGCCAGAAAGAGGAATGGGAAGTGCCTTGATAAACTCTGGTGACTACAATTCATCTATATATCAGGCTTCTTAAAACCTTGCACCTGAAAGGATTTGCAATGACCCATTTTTTTTAGTCTCTTTCCTCATTTAAAGTGCCCTGAATTATGAATGAGGTCTCTTCCTACCCAAAATACTAAAAAAGGGACTATTAACATATTCCTAGTTTCTGCTGTACAGGAGGAAAAGGGGTAGAAAGATAGAGTTCAATGCCTGGTATCCTGTCTGGACATCTAGATTGTCCAAGTCCATGCATGCGCGTATCAGGCTTCCCATTCCCATATGGTTGCTGGCACTTTCTGACCTCTGGCTTCTATTGGATGGAGTCCCCAACCAATACAAAGAAGGAGTTAAGTGCATCCCAGCATCCTAATCACGGCAAGGAGCTTCCTCTACTTTCCATCAGCAAACAGTTCCAAGGCTTGTGCTTTGTGTGAAGTGGAAGGAACTCATATAAGGTGGGTTCCATATCCTATCACTATTCACAGCCCATGATCCAGTCCTTTTGTTTTATGGTGCTGGATGGAACCCTGTGCCTTGCACATACTAGGCAAGTACTCTACTCTACCACTGAGTTACACCCTGGCCCCCAAGCCCTTTCTTAACGATAGTAACAAGCTAGAGGGTGGAATTTACTACATAGGAAATAAAATGTGTCAGTTGAACAGTCCAAATGAGCAGAGAAGTAGTTATTCCTAGTTTCCATGATTGGAAAAGGCTTCAGTCAGGAGCTGAAGGAGGGAAGTAGGGAAGGGTAGGACAAGGCCTGAAAGTAAAGGGGTGGGATGGGGGTGGGGTTGTCAGGAAAGGGAAAAGGAAAATGGCCAGAGCAGAGGCTGCTTTCTCTTGTGAACTGAGACTCACCCAAAGCCTGACTACTCACCACACAGGCTTGCAGTTTATTTGTATGTGTCTATTTCTGTCCCTGTATTGGGACAATATAAGGCAAAGCCCAATGCTGAAACTGCCTGTATGTTCAGCTCAAGGGTGGTACCTTGGGAAAGCACTGTAAGTACCCACTTAATGGGTGGACAGAAAGAAGGGTTGTGTGGGCGTGATAGGACGTGCCTGTAATCCCAGCACTGGGGAGGATGAGACAAGAGGATCACTACAAGTCTAAGCTGTGTAGCAAGACCCTGTACTCAAATAAATAAATAAATAAATAAGAAAAAGGAAGGGAGGAGGAAAGAAAGAGAGAGAGAGAGAAAGACAGACAGACAGAGACTGATTGATTGATTGTTTTTCGGAGCAGGAGAAGGAAAGAGATCTCTCGACCACAGGACACTATAACTACCAGGGAAGTATGGCAAAGGACTGAAGAGTCAAGCTGTCATCACACACATAAAAATCTAAAGTGTTTGAAACTGACTTTATAGGTAATAAGCAGGGAAGAAATGGGAAGAATCAACATTTATAAAGTTCAATCTGGCAGTGAGTGCAGGGACACCAGGACAGCAGAGAAAGGGCACAAGGCTGCAAGCATAGCGACCACCTGGAGCAAGGGTAACCGGTGCTCTGGACACCCACCTCCTGTCCTCCCGGTGCTCAAAATATCCACGTCCTCGGTTTTCTTCATAAGGCCTCTTTCGACTCTGGAATTGCTGTCTGTCTGGCTTGTGTTGAGAAGCTCCAGGTGGGAGGAAGCTGGGGGGTGCTTCTTGCTTCATCTCTGTCTTCACTTCTACTATCAGGACAAATCCAGATGGTCAAGACACTTGGAAACTCCTCAGCTACCACTTCTCTGGTCTCTTTCACTCCAACTGGCAAGCTCCTGTCTACAGTGGTAAAGAGCTTTATGGGTTGAACAGAAGCCTGCTGAACAAGCCAGAGAGGCTGTGCTGGAGAACAGGCCTAGGATGCAGGAAGGCCAGCTGGCCAGCTATACCTGGCAGCTGATGGGAGTGACAGATTTTAGCCAGATAGCTGGCAGGCATCATGAAAAAAGAGGTGACTCCAGCATGCAATAAGGACAAGCTCACTAAGGGCCTACCCAAAGATGGAACAACTGTCTTTGGCTAATTTGCTAAAAGCCCATGAAAGCTGGCAGCAACCTTGGCTTGTACTGAGTGGGAAGAGTGCTAGAAGACTAAGATCCTTTTATCCTCTGAGTTGCTAGGACTGTACACTGTCTAATTTCTTTTCCTAAAAAAAATTACTATGGGAGTTCTTGAAAAACTGCTTCTGTTTGACGAGAAAGAAAGTGGATGAATTTGACAGAACACTGTGGTCCTGCATCAAATTCTATTTGCTTTAATCACCTGACATAACCCAGAATCTCTAGAAAAATTTGCAGCTCAGCCATGCCATAGGTAGATAACTTCGCTACGTTGCACAATAGGAAGTCAAGATGGTTTAAAATTTTGTGAACTATGAAAAAGTCCCAGTCTCAGACAGACTCCAAGAATCAGCAGCCAGCCAAGAGTGAATCATGGATTCAGCCTCATTCCATCTCTCTCACAGTGTCCATACTAGCTGCCATGGCTCCCTCGCACCTACATACCTCAACACACACCTAAGGCCACTCTGAGCTAGGTACAGTGGTACAGCCTGTAACTCCAGCATTTAGGGGGCAGTGGCAAAAGATGATCATGAGTTTGAGGCTAGCCTGGGCTACACAGTGAGATCCTGCCTTAACAAGATCTTTCTGGATCAATCCCTAATGCTAACATGTAGACCCAATCTCTCAGAGAAGGTTCCTGGTTCTCCAGGGCAGGAATGGTGCTTGGTAATCTTGAAGATATCCTCCATGGCTCCCAGCAAGGGCCAGGCTCACAGAAGGTCCCTGATGAATGTCTGTTGGTAACAGGACAGAAAATATTCTCCTTGGGTCAAATGATCCCAAAAGTCTCACAGAGCCTGACACAAATCTGCAGTTTAACCTACATTCATTATGTTCTGAGCCACACAAAAGAAACATCAGGGGATTTCACTTTGTGGATGAACCAGAATGGACTGAATCTGGATTGAAGATTCAGTTAGATTCACTAAGAAAAGGCACTGAGGTCACATGGTGAGAGGAGCACAAGACTGGAGTGAGTTCTGGCTGTCATTTCTCAATAACAGGACCCTGGCTTTCCAAGAATACTGGCCGAGAAGCCAGTTTCCTGGGCTCTAGTCTCAGCCCTGCCATTATATAAGCTACCACCCCAACCTATAAAATGGGAAAGAGAAAGTTGAATTATGTTTGTTTCCCAAACTAGCATTATGGGGAACACTGCTCTGTAAAAATGTATCTACATGTTCGGGAAATCTCAACATAGGGTTTATATCAGAGCCTTTAGTACTCTAACAGATACAATGATTATCCAAGAAAAGGCACAGCCATGCTGCACTTTCCAGACACATGTGGCTAAAGAATCTTTTTTGAAAAGCCTTTAATAATATCTCTTGGAACAGTATTTTTCAGAAGTTGGGCAATATCAGACTAGATTTAAAAAGTTCTTTCTGGCCTCCACATTCTAAGGCTCTAAATAAGACTCAGGTATTAGCCTTCAGCCCTGAACTCTCCAGGGTGCTGGCATTAGGATCTTAGATGTTACTATAAAGATCCCCCCTCCCAACCCTTAGAAATAGGACTGAGTTCTTTGCTTCAAAATCAACCGACCACAATATCCTCAGAGAGAAAGGCCAGAAGACCACCCAGAAGGAAAATGCATACCCTCTCTAAGAAAGGCAGAAAGCCATGTGTAAACTCTTTCCATTAAGACAGGCAGCATGTGAGCTCTCCTACCTGGGCGATAGGCCTGTTGCAGTGGCTCCATGTCTAGTGGTCTCCTATCGTAGCCTGACTCATTTTCTTGCTTGATGATCTGGGTCTCAAAGAATTGGTTCTGCCTGGTAATATTGTCCATGACATCTTGAGATTAAAAGAAAAAAAGTCAGTTACACGGGTGCTTTTTGCACAAACCTTGAACAGAGGTGGCTTCTTTTATGCCACATGCCACCAATCCCACTGGTTCCAATCAGTGTGCCACAGAAGAAAGCAAAACACCATCAGATGAAGAGCAGAACTACTCCAGCTGAAACAACATGGAAGGGTGAGAGAAGCAGTCCAACTTTGTCTAAGTGCCCACTCCAGAGGAGGGGCAACTCTACAGCTACCGAGTACTCCACAGAGCACAATTAGAAAACTACCAGCCTAAGTCTGGTGTGCCACTACATGTCTGTACATCCCAGCTACTCAGAAGGTTGAGGCAGGAGGTTAATAAGTTTAAGACCAGCTTGGGGAACTTAGCAAGATACTGTCCCAATATAAAAACAAAGAGCTAGGGATGGGTGCTGGGGAGATGGCTCAGTAGAATAAGCACTTCTTTGGCAAGCGCAAGGGCCTGAGTTCAATCCCTGGTTCAGGAAAAAAAAAAAAAAGAGCTAAGGATGTAGCTCAGTGGTCCAATATTTACCTAGCATGGATTCAAAACATCAGCATAGCTTTTTTTTTTTTTTTTGCGAAACCAGGGATTGAACTCAGGCCCTTGCACTTGCCAGGGAAGCACTTATTCTATTGAGCCATTTCCCCGGCCCCGCTTTTTTTTTAATTTAAATATTTTTATTAGTCCATGTTTACAGTGCATGATGGTTGTTTTCTAAGATGGTTAAGATGGTATAATGCCCAAGAATTGCCCTCAAATTACAAAACCCTCTGCCTATCCCGACTCACACAGCTGTATTTAAAATCCTTTTCTAGGGGCTGGAGAGATGGCTCAGTGGTCTAAAGCACCTACTTAGAACAAGCTTGACAAGGCATCAGGGACCGCGGTTCAATCCCCCAGCACCACATGCCAGCCAGCCCCGCCCCCTGGTGGGCTGAGCTGGCCACACACACACACACACACACACACACCTCTCTCTCTCTCTCTCTCTCTCTCAAATAAATAAAAAAAAAATAAAAGTTAAAATCCTTTTCTATCTCACGATAGCTGTAAAGATAGGGAAGAAGGTAACCATTTTAACTGAAGAGAAATGGAGAAAGAATAGTAGCTCTAGCCTCATTAGGGATTAGTCCCAAAATAACTGGAGGTAAGATTTCTAGAAAAAAACAAAGACAAAAAACCATTAGTACTGAGGATTTAACTCAGGAGTGCTCTACTAATGATTTGTATTTCCAGGCCCTTTTATTTTTTATCTAAATAGTCAGACAGGGTCTTACTAAGATGTTCAGGCTAGCCTCTAACTTATGATCCTCCTGTACCACCTTCCAAAGTAGCTGGGATGACAGGCAGGTACCACTGTGCCAGGTTCTGGGAGGTGTTTTGTGAGTTCAAAAGGCGTTCCAATGAATAGTGTTAAGTGAAAATATTTACTACTCATGGAATGCATACTACACACCAGATGGTTGGGTACAGATGACAGTAAACCTGCCCTGCTGAAGTCTTCAGTTCAGGGACACAGGCTCTTAAGAAAATATACAAAAAAGCTTAACTGTCATTATAGTAAGGGCCCTTGAAAAATACCAGAAGCTGGGGCCAGGGAGATAGCTCAGCAGAACAAGCACTTGCCTGGCAAGCACAAGGGCCTGAGTTCAATCCCTGGTTTCTCAAAATCAATCAATCAATCAATCAATCAATCAATCAATCCAGAAGCTGAGAAAAGTGACCCAAAATGAACAGATGAGCTGATCAAAGGATACACAGGGAGTGACTCAGTGATGAGACCAAAGAACATTCCTAGGGTTGGGAGAACACAAGTGAAAGCTTAGAGGTAGAACTAGTAGTAGTGAGCCAAACCAAAAACTCCTTCCAGAAAGAGAACCCTGTAGCCAAATGCAGAACTTCAGCAACTCAGAATGGACACCTGCCTCCACAGCCTGCTAGTACCTGTGCCAGAAGCAGTGAGGCAGAACCACAGGGAAAGACAGACTATTTTGTCACTTGCGAACTGATTGGATCCTTTCTCAGAGGACAAATACATCTGGGTACAAACCAGGTGCAGCCCAAAGGGAAAAAGGCACCAGTCACATGGCCTGCTACAAGTCTGTTTATTAAGGCTGAAAGAAGGACTAGAGGAGGGGATGTTGGTGGCTCAAAGAATTCTGCCCTAGAGAGGGAAGAAAAAGAAACTATCTTCCTATGAAACAACTCCTCTTCTAACCCTCTAAGCACAGCATTATTTTAACCTCACAAAGCCTTGTGTTTCTCCCCAAGCATTTCTTCTGCATCCATGAAAAGCTGTGTTTCTGGGGATCCTCCCACAAACATCCTCCTCCTAGTAAGAGGCAGGCCTGGAGTGAAGTCCCTCATACATGCAATCTTCCTCTTAACAACCCTGGAGACATTATTATCCCCATATGGCACAGAGGGAAACTAGGTTTAAAGGGGAAGGACTTGCCCTCATCATTAAGCCAGGTTTACAACAAAATCTTGAGCCTGTGCTCTGAAGCACCCAACTTGATCTCCTCTGATAAGACTCTGGCTGATAGCCATGTCAGGTCTATCCCTTGGTGCTTCTTGCCAGAGCCCCTAGTTGCCAGATATGCACAGTAGCCACTCCTCCCACCTCCACAGATCTCTACCACAGAAATCCTCTTCCTAGCACATGGGTACTGGGCAATTTTTAGCTTACTTTATCCCAAATTTGTATTCAGGCTGCCTCTTCCGGACACCCAACCTTTGCCAGACAAGTCAGGACTCTTGTGTCAATCCCAACTCTTGCCTTTTTTCAGAGATACATCACAAACCTTGGGTGTCAAATTCCTTTTTACTTATTCCTTAGCCTCTCAAATCCATTCCCCAGTCCTGCCTTTTCATAACTCCAAATTTACTTTCTTCTATACTAAGCGCTGTCAAGATAGCTGCAGATCATCTACCCTAACCCGTCTTACTACCACAATCACACTTCCTTGCTGCTGCAGGTTTTCCACTATTCCCTAAGCACTTCCCCCATGGGGGGCAAGTAAATAACTGCTTTTGGGAACCACAAGCCCCCTCTTGGAGATACTCAACCCTAGAAACACTTGTCTCACTCCACCCTGGGGCCCCCTGCCAAGCTAAGCCAAGCCAAGAGGTTTCCTTTCCCCCACCCCACACCCTACATGCTTTTCCCTCCCCCAAATCTTCTAGACCAGTTACACTCTTTCCTTGCTGGACACTAGCAAAACCTCCCACATATTTCAACAGCTGTAAATTCTGACCCCACCCAGGTACCCCTGTTCTGGCCACAGCCACTGCAATAAAAAATCAACAGTAGCCACAGATCTGTGATCAAAGCCTTTCCTGCTCTAGACCACCAGGTTCTTTGTCTAGCGAACACCCTTCCCTCCCCTGCCACGGTCCAGACATCAAAGTTCCCTGTACCTCCTCTAGAGGCCATCGAGAAGGTCCCCAGATCTCCCAGCACCAAATGCTGAAGCTGCACCTGCCTCAAGGTTGGCCTTCCAGCCTGGAAGAGAGATGTGGATCTCCCATAGTTCAATCACATGCTGGTCTCCTACAACCCCTAGAAACACAAGAGAAACCCCTAGCAAAACCCAAGAGCGCTCAGGCCATCAGACTCCCCGGCTAAGGGCACATCAGCGCCTACAGCTCACAAACGCACTTCAAAACCTTACACAAGAATTCCCCGTACCCGATCCAGCCACAAACTCCAGGATCCTCGATCCTCAAAACTCCCTCATCCCAGGACTCCCGGTCTTTCCTTCCTCAATCCGGGAAAAAACACGGCTCTCAACGCCCAGCCAATGCTGGGCTAACACGGCCACTAAACCCACCCAACCTGAAATCTAGGATCACTATTTCCGAGACAACCCTCCTAATAAGAAATAAAAAGCCTCTGGTTGTTCCGACTTTCTCCGGTTCCCAAACCCCAGTTTCCGGTCTCTGGGCCCCGGGGCTCACACCCCTGTCAGATCCGACAGCGAGGCCCCCACCCCTAGTTATCTCCCCTGCACCGAAAGGCAGGACCCCCCCTCCTGTCTTCCCGAGCTCCTACTCCCAGATCTTTTGCAGCGACAGGTCGCGGGATCTAGGATCCTGAGGCCGGGCCCTGAACCCTGGCGCCGGACTCCCGCGTCCCACAGCCCTTCCTCGGCCCAGACTCCGGGCTCCCCGGCCCCCGCCCCGCGCACTCTCACAATGTCCGTCCGGCCCCGAGTAGCCGCCGGGCTCCGGGTGCGGCTGCAGCCCGGGCGGCGGTGGCTGCGCGGTCCCCTCCAGCTCGGAGCCCCCCTCAGTCTCGACCTCCTCGTTGTTGTGGCCGGGTTGCCCCGGCTCGTCGTCGGCCTCGAGCTCCCGCTCGTCGTCGGGGTCCTCGGCCTCCAGCGCTGCCTGCAGCCGCTCAGCAAGCTCGGCCTTCAGGCCGCGAGTGTCCAGGCCGCGGCGCTGCAGCTCCTCGCGAAGTTCGTTCACCTTCAGACGGCGCACATCCATGGCCCGGGCCCCCGGGGCGGCCCCCGAGCCCGGCCCGGCCTCCCAGGGCTCTGTCTCCCTTAAACCTTTCCCGTCAGGAGGCAAAGGGGGGAAAGGGGGGGTACACTCCAATGGCGGCGGCAGCGACTCAAAATGGCCGCCACCTCCCCCTCTCTGGTGCACCGTCTCATGCAACACGGGTGCCAATTGGCCAGTGTGGGGAACGACGGAAGAGGGCTCGGAATTTGGCCAATCAGAGCACGGCTTTCAAAAGGACAGTGGACACAGGGCCCAGGAGCTGTCGGAGGGGAAGCGTTGGTCTACGTCGAACCGGAGCCAGAGCGGAGGGCGGGAAAAGGCAAGAGGTGGAGCGCGCCCTGATTGGGTTATGCCTGCGCGCCAGCAGCTGTGGGATCAAATGAAGAAAAAGGAGTAATGATTTGGCCCAATCAGCGATAACATAGCAGAACGAGCGAGGCACGGCCTTCCCTGTGCCGTCCTCTCATCCAACGAATTTCTCTGTAACACACGTTCTGATTGGCCTAGATCTCCCGCCCCTTGAGTAGTCCCAGCGGGTAAAAGCACCAAAACCAATCAAAAGGCTGGTCGGCAAAACCCCCTCCTTCCTGTTGCCTTTAAGAAACCGGAAAGATGAATTTACGGAGGGCCCGCCCCTGCCGTTAGGGCTGTTTCAAAACAATCTGTCCACCAATCGTAGTCAATGTTTTATCTCACCGAAGTCGGTATAGATGGATGACTGGAGGAAAAGCTAGCCAGATTGGCTAGCCTTTAGAGGATTGCCTCATAATTTTGCTGTAGAGGGAGACCTACGGAATAGGGATTAAGTGGATATATTACTCATAAACTGTTAGGAACTCCGCTGCCTTTATGAAAAGCGAAATTTTAACTTTAGTGAGCCCTAAAGAGATGAAAATAAAAGCTAGAGTAATAACAGGAGAAAAGCTGTATAGGAACACCCCCCCCCCCGTCCCTTTGGTAGTACGTCTCATTGGGCGGCTCTTCCCATGAACCTAGCTCCGCGCAGCCTTTCTCTATGGTCGGTTCCTAAGGCGAACTGGGCGCTCTGCACGCGACCATAGAGCTTTCTCCTCCAAAAAAGAGGGCCAGAAGTTCGTCAGTCTCCACCCCAAATCCTCCAAACTGCTTCCAGTAGATCTAGCTGCTTACTCTCTATACCGACAAGCTCAAATACACAGATTCATAATTACATCTCAGGCGAATACACACAAACGTCATACTGTCTACCGCTGCACCACCTGTCGTCTCTAACTCAAAAGACAAAACTTCTTTGAGATTCACAATTGAAATACACAATCCAGAGCTGTGAGGTGGGTAGCTCAGTAGTAGAGCGCTTGCCTACAGTGCACGAGGCCCTGGGTTCCAGCCAAGGACCGCAGAAAAATTAATTAAATAAAATTTAAAAATAAATTCACAATGCCGATGGACCCTGCCTACTGAGCCATACACTAAATAATGAAAAAAAGCCGAACACGACCTCTACTTAGACAAAGGTGCACGAAGATATACAATAGGCATGAGTCCGATTACAGTGCAAAAGTCGCGGTAATACACCAAACTGCAGCGAGATGCGCCCGCACAGGCAGGCAGCATCGAATGACAAAGACACTCAGGACAGTTACACAAGCCTACACGACAGTAACCTAAACACACAGCATCCACTCAGCAGCGGGACAGACACTCACGTGGGCCCAGAGGTTCCAGTCCAGACACCCCGCCCCTCGCCCACGTCCGACTTCCTTTCTCTTCCCAGCTCCGCACAATGATCTGTTCTAAAAGTTTGTGGCCCGGATTGAACTGTCCCGGGTTCCCAGGAGCCGCCACCGGGGGGCGTTCGGGCGCTGCCGAGGGTTGTTCCTGAGGGCTGCAGGACACACCCAGGAACAAGTGCGAAGGCCTCGGGAACCCTTTGTGGGTCTGTGGATTGAGGGGTTCTCTGCCCGTGTGAGTCTGAACGTGTGTGTGTGTGTGTGTGTGTGTGTGTGTGTGTGTGTGTGTGTGTAGACCTGTTGTACTCCATGTTTCTGAATGTGTCTTATTTTATCCTGTATCCGTTTCTCAGATTTCTTCCTATTCCTGGTAGGTATCTTCCTGTGCATATGTTTGTAAATAAACTTGTGACTGTGTGGTTTTTAGGTGTCTCTTACTCTATTTCAGTTTCTATGTCTTTGTTCTTGCCATCAGATGTACCTGAGCATGTAGTTTATGTGGGTGTTTTGTGTGTTTGCATGTTTTTACCCTTTCTAGTGAGAATTAATTCCCAGACATCACCAAACCCTTTTACTAATAAGAAAGCAAACTACCAGGTGAAGAGCTACACTGTGGCTGAATGGAAACAAGAGGAGACAGAATAGTGACTGATAAATTTTTATGTGACCAGAGCCCCTCTAGAGGCACCAGAGTCTACATTATGTACAGGGAGGATGAGGGACTGGCTCAAAAGGGCAGCAAGGCCCAAAGGAGGGAGATGGTCCATTCCCTGAGGGGAAAGGAGGCACCCCTAATTGCACTGCACAGGTTTGAGGGGGATGCACCCCCACAGGAGGGGAGGAAGAAGCATAGGTGACTACTAGAACCTTGGAATCACCCCGACTATTCTAAACGTGTAGAAGCTTAGAAATTTAGAACATTTGAATCTTAACCTTATAGTACCTAGAATCTTAAGATTTTAGGAATATATATTCTTGGACCTTTAATTGTAATCCTAGACATGCAGAGCACAGCATAGAACCTAGAGGTGTCTGACATTAGAAATGTCTAGAACTTTGGTGTCTAGTTAGTCACATGTGTGAGTCATATCATTTAGATGCTTGGAATCCAGATTTTTGAATCAATGGAACCTTACAGTGCCTTTAAATATAAAACAGGCCAACATTAGAATTAGAGTTTAATAATCTAGACTCTTGGGGCATATGACCTAGAATCTTAGAGAATCTAGGTTCTTAGATTAAGTTTTAGAATAAACATCTAAGAACATTAGACCTTAGAATCTCTATCTTTAAACTCCTTCAACTTTCGAATTATAGGGGCCGAGGAGATGGCTCAATGGAATAAGCACTTCCTTGGCAAGCGCAAGGGCCTGAGTTCAATCCCCGATTCTGAAAAAAAAAAAAAACAAAAAAAACAAAAAAAAACACTTTCGAATTATAGATTGTAGAATCTTAGACCTTTCAAATCCAGGATCTCACACAAAAGAATCAATGATCAGAGAGCCTCAGAAACAATTCACCATCATTAATCTCTTAGAACTTGAACAAATAAAAATTGGAAGGCTTATGATGTACATTCTTATAAACAGGATATCTAGATTCAGCATTTGACCATCAAATTTTATAACAGTAGGCCTTATAGCCTCCATGGCTAGAATGATAGAATCTTTAGAATTGTAGAATCTAAAGTCTTACACCCTAAGGACTCTGTACTCTAGAAAAATAAAATCTAGACTCATAGAGTCTTAAATGCTAGAACTAGAATCTTTAGCTTTAAACCTAGAATCTTGGGCCCTTATCAAGAATCTTAGCACACCTGTAGTCCCAGCTACTTGGGAGGCTGAGGTGGGTCACTTGAGCCCAGGAGTTCCACACCAGCCTGGGGTATTGAACCACAGTGCTTTAGAATTAGAGACTGGAATTGCAGGTCCTTAGAACCAAAGATTCACAGCAACTTTGAGACCTAGAACCTTTGATATGGACCATTTAGGTCTTAGAATCTTGGAATGTCAGGTCTGGGAGGATTCTTAGAGATTGCACTCCAATCATATCTCTGTTTTGAGAGAGTCTTGCTATGGCCCGGGTTGGCCTAGAACTCTCTATGTTGCCTCAGCTAGCCTTGAACATGGCAAACCTTCTGCCTCAGCCTCCCAAGTGCTAGGATTACAGGCCTGCACCACCATGCTCAGCACAGTCACTTATTATGGGGTAGGATGCTGTGGTGCAGAGAAGGGAACATTTTATCTGGGATGGGGGTGGAAAGGGTAGGAAGATAAGGCTGTAGCTGAGGATGGGCAGGGAGTGGGAAAGTGGGTGTGGGGGATGAAGCTTCCCCAGTGGCAGTGCCTAGCTTGGATCCTGAGAGGGAGTCCCAGGTGGAGGGTTGTCTCAGGCTCCCTCCTCTTGCCCTGGGGGTGCTGAGGAACTCCTGTCAGTAGGCAGAGTGGGGCCAGGGGCCGTAGAAGGGCAAAGGACATAGCGTCCGGCAGGATGGACCTCTGCTGCTGTGAGACAGCTACAGGAATCCTTAGGGTCAGGCTGGGTTGGGGGGTCAGCTCCTCCAGCAGCTCCAAGGATTTCAGGATGACCTCCGCCCTCATCCATATTGACATAGAGGATTTCATCAGGCTCCTGGGCGGGGGGCAGGGCTTTCAGTGTATTCTCCAGGTCTTCCCTCAGCTCTGTAAAAGTTGGCCGGTCCCGGGGGTTCAGCTCCCAGCACCGGGACATCAGGACATACCTAAGGCAACAAAGTGATGGGTGAGACACTGAACATGAGCTCAGAAGGGAGAATTCTGGAAGTTGAGGAATATTTTAGGATATTTGGAGGCTGGCGATTAGAGGGAACCTCAAGGATTAGAGGAATCTGCGGAGGGGTAGGTGTTCTCAAGAATTTCTTTTCTACCTTTCTTTTTTTTTAGTACCGCTTATGCCCCTGAGCTACATCCTGGCCTACTCAAGAGTTTCTGGGGATGCCTTGGGAGACCCAGGAGCTAGGAAGGGCTTGCTGAATCTCTGACTCTGGGGTACTGTTCTAGCAATGGTTTGTTAGAGCAGATCTTCCCAAAGTGACCTCCAGAACTGATGCTAACATCAAAGCTAGCATTAAAGGGCTGGGGAGATAGCTCAGTAGAATAAGCGCTTGCCTGGCAAGTGCAAGGGCCTGAGCTCAATCCTCCGTTCCACAAAAAAAAAAAAAAAAAGAAAAAAGAAAGAAAAAAAGAAAAAAGAAAAGAAAGCTAGCATTAAAGCCAGAATTTTGCTTTTTGTCATGTTTTGTTTTTGAGAGACAGGGTTTCAGTTGCCCATACCTGCCTCAGTTTGCAGTCCTCCTGCCTCCATTTCCCCAGTGCTACCATGCCTGGCTATTCCATAAAGTTGATGGTGCTCTGCCCTCCAAAAGATGGAGGCCCCTCTCTGGAGGGTGGGCAGAATTTGGCGGCAGCGGAAGTGAAGGTGTGCATGATTCTGAGGCAAGGTCCTCAAAGGCCCTGAGGCTTCCTCCTTGGACTTTCTCTGGGCTCATCATGCTGTGGGGAATCTCAAGCAGCACTACAGAAGGGTCCATGTGGTGAGGCCCCGAGCCTCAGCCGTGTGAGTGTGCCACCTGGAAACTGCTCTCCAGTCCCAGATCTTCAGATGACTGCAGCCCAGCTGACATCCTGACTGTCATCTCATTAGAGACACCAAGCCAGAGTCACCCCACTAAGCGGTTCCCAGACTTCTGACTTTCTGCATGGTGTTGAGCTACTAGATTTTGGGGTATAGATCACTAACAGCAACTGTGCAGCCTTCGGCAATTAACTCATCCTGCCTCTAGTAGCTGATAATGACAGCTGTATTTTCCTGTGGCTGTGGGAAGGATCAAATGAGTTATATGCAAAGCATCTAAGAACACTGTCTTCCAGTAAGTTCTATAAAACTGTAAGGGCCAACAAGATAGCTCAGTGGACTAAGTGCCTGCTTAGGCAAGTGCAGGGCCTGGGGTTAGATCCCCGACACCATGTGGCAGCACCAGCCCTGACCCTGGGTGCAGTGAGCCAGCCACCGAGTCCCGGTGTGGTGGTGTGCCCCTGTAATCCCAGTGCTCTGGAGGCTGAAAACAGGACAATCACTACGAGTCCGAACTGCATAGTTAGACCCTGTACCAAATACATTAAAAAGGGGCTGGGGAGATGGCTTAGTGGAATAAGCGCTTCCCTGGCAAGCGTAAGGGCCTGAGTTCAGTCCCTGGTTCCATCAAAAACAAAACAAAACAAAAAAACAAAATACATTAAAAAATAAAAATAATAAAATATCAACTGTAAAGGTAGGCATAGTGGCACGTGTCTGTAATCCCAGCACTCTGGGAGACTGATGCAGCAGGATCTCAAATTCAACCCCAGCCTGGGCAATTTAGTGACTCTTTCAAAATAAAAAATAAAAAGGGTTGGGGCTATAGCTCAGTGTGAAGGCCTGGGATTCAACCCTCAGTACCAAAACAAAACAATCTTCATTCATATAGGCCATTACTGCTTCCTTCAGCCTTTGGAACACTGAAGGAGGACATGAAGAGACTGAAGCCCCAAGATGTTTCCTTTTGACCCAAGTAACTCTGTTCTCCAAGGGCTGGTGAAATGTTACACCCTTAAGGTCATCCTAATGGCTTCCTGCAAACAGCTCAGAGGAGACCTGAGAGTCTGGAGAAGATGTGGAAAACAGATGGGAGGGTTTGGTAGAGAGTCTAAGTGTGTAGGCACATGGAGAGGAAGTGTGGGGTGATTAGAATGAATCAGAAGTCTTCCACACTGGGGGTCTCAGAGGCGGGACCATCAGGGAAGGTTGTGCACTTGTTCACTGCCCAAGGACACCTTGCTGAGCAGGGAGGGGACAGATCTACCGTGAATTCCACATGTGACAAAGGAGGATGGATCTCCATTAGCTAACTGCATCCCATTGGCTGACCATGAATGGTCCTACAGGGAGTACTGGGGAAGTGGCAAGGGGGCTGCTGAACATTCTGAGTGATTCCATACAGTGTCCTATAAGGGACATGTGTGGGTGCTCAGGACGTTGGGGATGGATTCTGGGGTGAGGAGGCAGGTTCAAAAGGTCCTCACAGGCCATCCAGACAGTCCACAGGCTGCTTCAAGCGATTCCCCTGGCGCAGGTAGTCATAGATCTCGCTGTTCTCTACTCCAGGATATGGCGTTTGGCCTCGAGTGGCGATTTCCCACATTGTCACACCGAAGGACCACTGTGAGGAATAGAGGGTAGGAATTAGATACAGTCTGTCCTACAGAGACACCCCCACCGCACAGGCTCACAGGTACTCTCACTCTGGTGCAGGTATGCACAGCCCTGCCAGTGCGTACACCACTAGTTTGTAGAAATACTCTGGCACAGGTACACACTCACATGCATGACCTTTGTGGATGAATAGGCATGAGCATCCATGAATATATTCACACGTTTCATGGACACATGATCTCATGTGTCTCCCTCCATGCTGACTGCATACAGTGTACAAGTGTGGGCATATGCATGCGTGGTCACTGCTGCTTCTCTTGATGCAGACTGTCCATTGTGCCACCATGCAGCTGAAAGTCTGTACACATGCCTGGTGTGTACACAGCACCGTCCATAGACACCCACCACATCTCCAAAGGTGACTGGACTACATAGGTTCCTGCTCAGAGGGGCCCGCATGTTCCCAGGAGCCCTGCACCTGTAGCCACCCGGGAATGGTGTGAGATAGGCTACTCCCACCCCCACAGAGCCCTGTGCTTGGCAGAGGTGCGTGTACCACATCACTCTTGCTGGTGTAGACGCGGTCGGCTAGGCTCTCAATGGCGATCCACTTGACTGGCATCTTGGCAATGCGACCCTGGCGGTAGTAGTCCCCATTGTAGATCTTCTTGGACAGCCCAAAGTCCGCCACACACACAGACATGTTCTCATTCAGCCTGCTCGGATTGGGGGAGGAACAGGATCAGGGAATTGGCAACCTCTCCCAGCAAGCCAGCCGGGTTTCTCCGATGCACTTCCGCTTCCTGCCCCCACTGTCCTGCCTGGAGCTGGGCTCTGTGCCCTGCACCCTCACCCAGCCCCAGAAGGAACTGTTTAATGTCTTGTTCCCTCCATAAAATGAAGGTGGGACAAAGGGCTTCTAACAGCCTCCCAGTTATGGCTTTTTGCCACATTCTAAAGTTCTGCCTAGGCTCCTTGGGTTTAATTTTCTGATTTGTGAAATTTTCTCAAACTATATGATATATAGTGTTTACTATATATATAAAATGTTTACTATCTATAGTGCATATAGGTGTATATTAATGTGCACAGATCATACATAAATTTGAATTTTCACAAGCATATCCATGTGTTCTGAACCTGGATTAAGAAACCTATCTTAAATGTAGGGCTTTCTACAAGATGACAGGTCTCGGGTCATCCAAAAGAATATATTATAAAAGTATAAAAATGTGGTGTTTGGAGTGGAGGGGCTACTCTAGATTAAAATAGGCTGGAGGGGCATAAGGAAGAAGTACAATTTGGAATTCTTCATTAGATCCTAGTTCAGGGGAAAACTTAGTTATAAAAGACAATTTAGGGCTGGGGAGATAGCTCAGAGGCATAAGCTGAAGGTCCTAAGTTTGATCCCTGGCACAAAAAACAATCAAACAAACAAACAAAAGACAATTTAAAGGACAACTGGGGGCCAGGGAGATGGCTCAGTAGATAAGTGCTTCACTGGCAAGTGCAAGGGCCTGAGTTCAATCCCTGGTTCTGCCAACAAAAAAACAAAAAAAAAGCCCTGATACATTTTTATTCTTTCAAAACAAACAAACATTTAGAGATGATGTGTCATGATTTCATTAGTTTACTTGCAAATGGCTAAGGGGAGAAAGAAAGGCAGAAGAGAAATGGGGCAAAATATCAACAAGGGAGCATCATATGCTGACGCTCTCAACTTCCTTAGCTTTGTAATTTCGCAAAATAAAAAACTGAGAGAAAAAATAAATTCCATTTCTATATTGATGAGAATTCCAAACACTGATGTTGGTGTAGAGAATTCTCTGATTCTCCAGCTGCGACTGCTGTGAGTCTGACATCCTCATGAGATTGACTGGGGGAGGGGCGCTGGGCTTGAACTCAGGACCTTGGCCCTGAGCCACATCTCCAAATCTTTTTACATTTTGAGACAGGATCTAAGTCATTATGTTGCTCAGGTTGGGCTCAAACTTGCAATCCTCCCCACTCAGCCTCCCAGAATGCTGGGATTACAGGTGTGTACCACAGAATTAATATTCTAAACCTGTGGTTCCACTCCCTGCATCTTCCCTGTATTCCTGGTTCTGTTCCCTGCATCTTCCCCATATCCCCAACTCCATAAGGTGAGGCATTTGGCACAGAGCTAGACAGAGATAAGGCTCCCTTAACCACCCAGCCAGGCACCTTTGCTCCTCGGCTCATCTCTCACTGTTCCTGAGATATCCCCCACCCTCTCTCTTCTCCTTCCCACCCAAATACTGCTTCAAGATCTCAGTTCAGGACGCCCTCCTCCAGAAAGCCTTCCCAGACTCCCTTGCTGATCTTTCTATTCCCAGTCCAGAGTTCTGAGCCCCCCTTACAGGTGCAGTTTCCCTATCATCCTGGGAAGAAGGCTTAGCACTCACATGCAGTTCCTGGCAGCCAGGTCCCGGTGTATGAATCTCTTAGTACTCAGGTACTCCATGCCACTGGCGATGTCTGTCATGAACTTGACCAGCATCTGAGTGGGCAGGAACTGGGGGCCAAGGCAGTGGGGAGAAATGGTCAGCAGAAGCCCCGAGGTCTATCGCTCCTCATTCTTCCTTCCCTTCCTGTGCTTGTCTAGCCCTGTCCGCAGTGACTTCCGCTGATTCTGGGAATCAAATCTAAGCCTCTTCTGTCCCTTATAAGGCCTTAGAGAGTTCACTTTTGCTGTTTCTCTCTGATTGATCTCCTAATACTCTTGGCCTTGACATGCACTTTGGCCTTGGCTCACATTGTGTCCTGTCTGGGTCCCAATATCCTACCACTGGCTCCTCCTTCAAGGTCACCTACCGGGGAGGCCTTCCCTGTTCACCCAAACTAATTCCTTGGCCTCCTTATCGTGCATCCCGTATTTCCTTCCCAGCACTTAAATGCTCTTGTTTATGCATTTGTCAGCCTGTTTATTGCCTGGTCCCCCCTCCATGAGAACAAGCTCAGGGTCACCAAGATCTTCCCCGAAGCTGAGCAGTGCTGGGTAGCTGATATATGCTCATCTAGTACTGGTGGACTTATGATGAAATGCGCCTCACCACTGGCTGGTCCCCGAGCCGCGAGTAGAGGAGAAAACTGTGTAGGTCTCCATGCTTCATGAACGGTAAAATGACCACAGGTGCCGGGAAGCCCTCTCGTTCTGAGCCCTGAAAGCAGACACCTGAACCCCCAGGCAGCCAAGTGACACCCAGCTAGGCAGGAGAGGAAGCCGAGCTCCCTCCCTCCCAGCCAGACTTGGCCTTTCCTCCACCCTCCCCTTGAGATCTGACTTTCGCAGGAGGAGGGGGAGGAGGGGGTGTGCGTGACAAGGGCGGAGCCTCAGAGAAGCCCTTTCTAGCCGACTTCCCAGGGATGCTTCCGGAGCCCTCCTGGGGACCTCAGCTATTTCTGAGAATGGTCAGAGGTCGAATTCCAAATTGAGAGAAAAGAGGAGGGGGAACTCGCTGATCTTGAAAAAGAAGGGAGCTGGCAGCCTGAACATTTTATGGTCCCATCGCTACCGGGAGGGTTCTTCCTGCTGGTGTGGCCCCATGGGAATCTGTCCCCCTCTCACCGATGAGCCTCATGACATTGGGGTGGTCGAATTCCTTCATGCAGACAGCTTCACTCAGGAAGTCCTCCAGCTCTGATCTCGTGCAGATGGCGACTTGGGGGAAGGAAGAAGGTGGATGAAGAGGAAAGGAGGGAGGGGGTGCTTTTCCTTCTCCTCTTCCTCCCCCCCCCCTACTGTCATCAAACAGGACTGCTCAGCCAGCATTGGGGTACACACCTAAAGTTCCAGCATGCTCTGGGAGGCTACTGTGCCACTTAGTGACTTAGTGAGACCCTGTCTTGAAAGAAAAAACTCAGCGTGAAGGCCCCAAATTTAATGCTCAGTACAGAAAAAACAAACAAAAAGATTAGTAAATATCAGCTGCTCTACTTTAGGGCTTTACTTATATTAACTCATTTAATCATCCAGAGTGCTTCAATTATGAAGCACCAACTTTTATTTATTTATTTAGTGGCATTGGGAATCAAACTCAGGCTCTTGTGCTTGCCAGGCAGGCACTTATGCCACTGAGCTATATGGCTGGCCTTATATTTAGTTTTCTGAGGCAGGGTCTTGCTATGTAGCTCAGGCTGGTCTTGAATCCACTGTGTAGCCCAGGCTGGCCTCAATCTCATGGCCATCCTCCTGCCTCAGCCTCCTGAGTGCTGGGATTATAGGTGTGTGCCACCATGCCTGGCTATGAGCCCTATTTTATTTATTTAGTATTTGGTACAGGTTCTCGCTATGCAGCTCCGACTCATAGTGATGAGCTCTATTTTAAAAATAAGAAACCAAACCCAAAGGTACAAAAATGTCAAGGGAACTACTTCAGGGCATGCATGCTCAGAGATGAACAGGCAGAGTCGAAAGCCAGGCCCTCTGGCTCTGGAGACCATGTGCTCACTACCATGCTAGCGGCTTCCTGACACTTTTGCAGTAAACTTGGGCATCCTGATGATGATTATGATCCTGTTTTACAGCTCAAGACGCTGGTTCATAGAGTCAGAGTAACCTGCTCAGGGTCATATGGCTGGGCTTAAAATCCAGGCCGAGAATATCACCTGACATGCAAGGGTACTCACTGATGACTTCACAGCCCAAGCTTCTTTTTCTTTTTTGTAGTTCTGGGGATTGGGCCTGGGGCCTTCACAATAAGTGCCATCCCCCACTCCACTTTTGATTTTTAATTTTGTACAGTGTTGTGCCTAATTGCTAAGTTGCCCAAGTTAGTCTTGAACTTGCTATCCTCCTGGCTCAGCTTCCCAGAATGCTGGGATTAAAGACCTGTACCACCACAGCAGGGCTACGCCCAATTTTTAAGCCATGTATTTCAGAAAGGATCATTTACCTCACCTCCAGCCTCAGCCTAAACCTCTTATGTTTCTACTCATCTATAGAGGAAGGACTTGGCCTTGGGCTTTCTGTGCTGTGTGACTCTAGGCTGGCTCCCACTCTCTCTGATGACATACATAATGCACTAGTAGTTCACTTTATCTCCAATATTAAGTGCTTTGTGTCATGAGAGCCCTAGGAGGTAGGGACAGTATAAGTGCTTTTTTTTTTCCAGACAAGGGAAGGAAAGGAGGGAGAGTCACTTGTCTGAGCTCCTACCGTTGGTAAATGAAACCAGATGTGCCTCATTCTGGACCTACCCTTGGTCTGTTATGCGTCACAAGGGGTTGGCTCCTGAAAACTACATTTCCCAGGATTCCTCCTTTAATGGTTTCCTGAAAGACTGGAAGATCAGAAAGAGGAGGGGAGAAACCAGGATATTTTACTCCCTTTCTGCTTCTACAGCTGCCTTGGCATGGCTGTATGTCTTGTGTTCCAGCTCCTACAAGGAGCTCCTAACTCTGTGTTCTCAACCTTTCTGCCAAATGTCCTTGGCCCTAGGAACACCACTTCCTTCCTCTTCCCTGTAGGCCCAGGGGTGGCAGGGACTTCCTACTGCTGCTAGTATCCAAGTTCACACTGTTCTGGTTGTTCCTTTAGTACTTCCTCCACCATGGCACTAATGTCCCTGTGTTCAATTCCTTCCCTTGAAGTAGCCAGCATGGGCTCCATTTTTCAGCAGGGAACCACTGGCATTCTAAGTACGGCCAATCTACCATTAACTTCTGCTTATGTGCCGCTCTGGGAGACAGGGAAGGGGTGGGGGAGAGGGCTGGGGGTCCTACATGTGTGTGCAAGCAAGCACAGACTCACTCTTCATTGTCTTCACAGCCACCTTGAGGATGGAGTCGTCCTGGTTCAGTTGGCCCTCCATCACAGCTCCAAACTCTCCTGTAGAAGACAGGAAGGAGATACTGACCTGGAGGGGGTGGGCATCTTGACTGTAATTCTCAGAGTTGGCTGAGGGTGGGGAAGTGAACCTTAGAGTTCGGGAGGATATGTGTGCTTGCTAGGAAACTCACCTTCCCCCAGGGTCTTCCCCAGGGCCACCTTGTGCCGGTCCACCATTACATCCCGCAGCTTTTCCTTCAGCTCTTCGCTGATGCCCAGACTGTTCACTGCAGGTAAGGTGAACAGAGCCATGGCGCAGGGTTGCCATTCAGGTGACACTTGCCAGCCCGGATATACCCATTGTTGAAACATGGAACTACTGCATTGGTTCAAAACTACCTATTGCATGAACATCCTAGTGCCCCAACTCTTAACTCCTGTCCTGGACCCCTAAACTTCCTCCCATAGTAGTAACTATAGGGTTAAAGCCTGGTCGCAGTCTTGGTCTGGTATGGGCTCTGATTGGTCAGCACCCTGCTGCTACCAGTTGTTAAAAATGTTTTTTGGGGAGGTCTGGGGAGATAGCTCTGTGGTCTAAGCGCTTGCCTAACAAGCACAAGGACCCAGGTTCGATCCCCAGTACTGTATGCTGGCTGGCCCCAGAATCATGCTGGTCCCAGAACCCAGGGTATGTATGCCTGTAACCCCTGCACTGGTGAGGCTGAGATAGGAGAACCACGATGAGTCTGAACTGAGTAGTGAGACCCTGTCCCAAAAAATTAATTAATTAAAAAACAATTAAAAATCTTAAGAGGGGAGTCTGAACTGTTTAAGGAGGTAGAAATGCTAATTACCCTGATTTGATGGTAATATATTGTATACATTTATCTAATTGTTACCCTGGGGGCTGGAGAGATGGCTCAGTGGTCTAAGGCACCTACTTGGA